ATCCGCTTGTATCCCACTAATCCCAGCTATGACTTAAAAAAAACAATGGAGCGCGAGAAAGATCAGGCTAAGTTTTATTGCCTCAATAACGCAAATTATCCTAAATGCATCCACGAGTAAATAACGTGCATATATGTAGGACATCATGAGGAGAGCATGAGCTACCATGATACTTAGGCTAGTAACTATACTAGACTAGAGAGTAACCGAGTTCAAACTAGACTCAAGTAGGTACGTACGAAACTTTGTTATCCTGCGCAACGTAGCGGGGACTTCCGTTGGGGGGGGGTTGATGTTGTTTTTTCCTTTTGGTAAAAATAGAATTTGTTGCTGCCTGTTTTTAACACGTTGACTACGTATTGGTACATATGCGTACCACGAAATGTATTTCTCCAGGAGGTAGTGGTACATAATTCAGGTTGCCTAAAATCGGCCAAATCCTAGAACAAAAATGGCCAAAAAAGGCCGATTATTTAATGTATACTAGTTTATTTGTAGGTTCCGCTATAAAAATTCAATTTATTTTCTTTTTGCGGTATTTAAAATATGATTAGGAAGTACCCCTATAATAAATTTTAGCCACAATAAATTAAATAATAGTACAAGATGAAGCAATCGTAGTCAACGTGTTTAAGGTTATCAGCGACGTAGTTGAACTGAGTGTGCAAGTAAATTGGACAAATCCAGTCTTTTTTATGCATCCCATCGTTAGACATCGAAACTTTCAAGCAGCATTTGCGAATACTGATGAAGCTTGAAGACAAAATGTATGAAAATTTTGGTTTAATATGAGATTAAAGCGTATAATAATGTAGCCATATTAACTTAAAACATCTAAGTAAAAAAACTTGCTTATTGGTCCCTTAATTACATCAAATAATGTTATAAAGATGTAAATAATTAGTTCTTATAAAATTTTTACCTTCATGCTGAATATCTATTTATTCAACGAATATTTCTATTGATAAATTCAGTTCATAATTAAAGTTTGTGCTAAAAACACGTCGCACCATCAACTACCCATAAATGCAAAAAGTTATTTTTTACCGTTTTTCCGTATTCAGCGTTATCTACATAACTTAATCAAAGTTTACAGTAATCAGTTTATATTAATCATGATCAAGTCTACGACCATGAGATCTCGTATGCTTCAGCAATGCAGAGCCTTTATTCGGATTTCACGCAAAACCTCAACTCAGCACAAAAACCTGTTACTAAAACACCACTGCATCTCTAAACCGGTTCAGCCGAGATAAAACTAAAAGAAGGAAAATTATTTGCAGTCTTAACGTTCTGTAATTCCACGAAGCCTGCAGTGCTGAGGCCAACTGTAAGAAAAAACAAAAATGTTGTGGAGTTGGAAAGCTAGTTTCTCGATCATACATTCAACATTATTTAACATAAATGATTTAAACGATACCATAAACATCTGTTCTGATCTCGTAGGTTTATTTAGTTAAGCTTAACTAAGCTTGTCGTACGAGAGAAATTAACGTCTTTTCCACTAATGAATAAAGTGTGATTGGTATAAATTAAATTAGTTTTACATGGTTGTTGAAAATTGTAAGAATGCGAAAACTGTACCGATTTTATTTTGATTCTCTTGTTGTTAGCAAATTATTCTTCTTGTTGTTAACAAATGATCTCTTTTTAAGATTACGTGTATTATTTTGAAATTACTTTGTTCAGTTCCAGCTGCACGAAAAATAACCTTGAACATTCGGTTTCAAAGTCAAACCCGGAACCTGTCGTCAGGTTCAGGCGCTTGCGTACGCCTGTGGAAGTGGAAAAAAGTGCAAAGTATCCATTTATTCTGAGTTTGTCCACTTATTCACAATATTTATGCCTGACTCTCAAACAACTGAAAGCTCACTAACGTATGGAGTCAAAATCTTTTAGATTTATTATTTATTGGGCCTATTTATTCAACGCCGACACTTCTATTCTATTCTATTCTATTGCAATATCAGCCTTGATTAAACATGAAATAAAAATTATTTGAATCTCAAAGAATTGCAAGCTAACCAAAGTTATAAGGTCAAATGCTTTTGGATTCATTATGCATATCATTATCAGACATTTTTTAATTATTCACTATTACCGTTATATATAAAGTCGAGACACATGACGTCGTTGAAGCGGAATATTATAAAGTTCGTCTATATTGTGATGTTGATTACCTGAGTTGATGAGTTTACTAGGTATCATGCTGACAGGTCTACTAGGTATTGAGCTGACTAGGTGACATGCTGACATATTTATTAGGTAATGAGTTAAATAGGTGACATGTTGACAGATTTTCTAGTTGATGAGTTGACTAGGTGACGTGCTGACAGACTTACTAGGTGATGAGCTGGCTAGGTGACGTGCAGACAGATTTACTAGGTGATAAACTGACTAGGTGACATGCTTACAGATTTACTAGTTGATGCTCTGACTAGGTGACATGCTGACATATTTACTAGGTGATGAGTTGACCAGGTGATGTGCTGACTCGGTGGCTAGGTAGTAAGCAAAGGTCTTGGCTGGGTGGTGAGCTGACTATGTGACATTACTAGTTGACTAGGTAGTAGTGAGCAGATAGGTAGCGTGGAAGAAAAAAAAAAATTCGAAAAATTAAAATTTTCATTTTTTTAGATATCAAATTATCGAAAATATATAAAAAAATCTAAGCTAAAAATTGAAAGAAATTACCGAAATTTTTGAAATATAAATAACTTACCACTACCACTATCGGGTATAATACTTGCACGGTGTATAAGCACCTCGAGTGACCATTTGGTGGTGAGGAACGGAATTTAGGAGGGAGGGTGCGCAACAGATGGCGCTATACTGTACGTAAAGATTGATCTGATTTCTGTGAATGTTGACTTCATTCGATGTAAATTATTGTTATTATCCTTGGAAATCGTGCGTAAAGCTTGGTAAAGAATTGCGCGATATGGCCTACATCGGCATCATATATAGACTTTGCACCGAACTGACTTGCCTATCTCATATAAGGAGGTATATTGTGTGCAAAGTATTCAAGAAACTAAACTACTTTTTAGCGACGTGTGCTTCCTTGAGTACTGCAATAAAAAGAACTGCCATTGGGCCAGCTAGTTTGAGCAGGACTAGGGCTTAGTAATAAAAAAAATATTTGTCAATACAGGTGTACGATTGCTTTGTTTTTAAGACAATTATGCATGTGAGTATTAAAAAATATACTTTGTTTAATATTTTATGTAAAATTAAAAAAGTTTAGCACATTATGATGCACATTTTTATTATGTTCAAGGTTGTCAGAAATTCAATGCCGTAAGCGTAAATTTACGTTTCGTTTAATTTTTAATCATTAAGAAAACTGCGTCCAAAACTCGAAACAATATGAAAAAATCCTTTTTTGAAAGTTCCGAGCGTTTTGGGTAACAATTGGAAATAATTTTTTGGGGTTATATGTCATAATTTAGGAAAACAGACAATCTGAAAGGCTTTCAAGTCAATTTTAAAATATGCGATCGTTTTCAGCTCCTGGTCACTGGAAATGAACAAGCAAATGGCTTAGACTTCCTTCACAATTAGACTAACATGTGCAACGTATACCATATATATAATATTTTTAGCACCTTAGTATATAGTAGGCAATTCAAGTGCATAATTCAGTACCTGATATACTACGGTTATCTTCGGCTATAAACTGTTGCATGTACGATACAAAGTTTCTCACGTCGTATCAGTACTGCAGATGAGACGACTCAGTGCTGTCATGACGTCAAGTGATCTCAAATGATACAATAATTTTCCACGGTGTACAACGTGGGTATTAGTTTTATGCTTACTTATTTATGTGTTATTTTGGCACGGAGGTACCACCCATTCCTGAAATTTATTTCATTTCCTGCGACAAATAAATTATTTTGAGCATCGAAAGATATTCATGATTTGCGATAAAAATTTAACTATTAAAATGAGGCCTGATGATCATCATATTTCTTATCGTGAAGTGTGTGCTGGCAGAGAACAAAATTCTGTATCTATTAAGGATCTCGTTCCCAAATTTTTGATAAAGGTAGTGATGCTTCTATCCCTTGTCTGGGCAATGCAAGAGACAACAGGATTAAATATATCCGTGTGTGTTAGCTTGAATTTTCTAATGATGCGTAATGTTTGCTAATGCCTCCCTCTGCCAAGTCAAGAAAATATGTACAGCTACATTAGCATTCCTTGTGGAAAAATCTATCATGATAAAATCGTGAGTTTAACTGAATAGTAACAATTAAAATTCGAATAAGCTTTCTCTAACGAATCAAATCGGTTTAGAGTGTAGTGTAAACTATTTAGTGTTGGTGGACCAGTGGCCCACAAAAGCTCATATACTAAATAGTAAGTTTATTTTTGAAATTTTATAGACTAGCTTAAACATACATAGTTTCGCCGCTGCAGGATTTTTCCACTTCGTCCCTCCAAGCTTCACAAAAGTTCATTCACCACCTTCATGTTGGTGAGCAATTTATAATTAGGGCACGAAATCACTCAGCATAAATCTATTGTGATGAAGAAAACGTTCCTGATTAAGTAAAGAATCCTTATAATCCAGAATCCAGACATCTTAAACGTAACGTATAGTTTACTTTTATGGCGTAACGTATGTTTTTGGTCTATTCACTCTGTTCTCTAATTTTGGTCCATTCACTCTAATGCTTCCATTAAAATTAGATGAACATCCCGTTTCATTTCCTTAGTAAAGAAAGAGGTCGCAGTTGCGCTAGCTCGCTTCTGAAGTATAAACCCAATAAAATCCCCCTTAAATTCGAACAAATAATTATTTTAGAGAAAACAAAAAGGAAGGCTCCACGTGGAAAAATCAGTTCGTCTTGCTGCTTTGAATACATGGTCCAAGAAAGATAACAGAGGACCTGAAACGAAACACGATGTCTTGATAAACACAGAATAGGAAAGCAATAACCTCAGGCCGAGCACGGAAACATTTCCCGGATATTTTGATGTTCGCTGACCAATGATCATTCCGAGGCTTGGACGTGACCAAAATGGTGAGCCATAAGCTGACATCGAGGCCTTAAATCAGCGAATCCTAAACTAGATAAAAACTAATAGACCAATGCGAAAAATTGCACGATGTGTGCAGTTTCACAGCTCAAGGTCACCTGTATGAAGTTCTCTATGTATATATTTTGTTTTCATTTCAAAGGATGGGAAGTTGAACGAGACGAAGATTATATGAGAAGATAAAATATAATAATATTATTTGAAATATTAAAAGTTTCTGGTTGATTGCAGATGATTCTGAGTAGTGGCTTGAGATTAAAGGCCGTTCCGTCAGATTTCCATCACTTATGGTTTCGTCAAAAAACCTTGCATTGTCAAAGAATTTTGACAAAAGTGGTTTTATAATCGATCTGAGATTGTTAACTGATAAAACTAAAAATATTATAATCAAGTTAATAATCGACCTGTAACAAATGCATTGATTTAAACTGCATGGGAAACTGAATATGTAGATCAGCCCAACAGTGGCTTAAATTTGTGTTTTTTTAGAAATTGAGAGCCTTTAAGCATTTATATGAGTCCTTTATACTATTCCTGTTGCTGCCTGAATGTTCCACCTTCTGAATTTGATTTAAATTTCAACTCTAAGTATGACTCGAACAACTTCAAAGCAGAAATGTGACTTCTTTTTGATAGCCGAATTTTTATAAATTAAGGTTCAGAGGAACTCTGAACAATATAATACAACCTTTATATAAGTGGAAGATTCGCTGTTCGCTCCACGTTTCAAAAACTGCACTCAAACATTGTCTGGAAGATGAGAAAATATTTTTCTGTCACCTCTTGAACAGGAAGTCTTCGTCGCTGTTTTATTGAATGTTGAATGCTGATGTGAAGAATTTTTTATCGAACATACTTCTCCCGTGTACATAAGGTTGTGACCTTTTACGTAGGACCAGAGTCAATGAGCTCAGGCAAAATTCAGTTTTAACTAAACTTGCAATTGATTGTTCAGCAATTTGGTATGTTATCATTTACTTGTGTTATGATTATTTTATTGCTTGTTAACCTCGATTATTTTCTCTATATTGTTTATAATTTCGAATAACCTCGACTTTGTGTTCAAAATGTTCATTATTTGTTTTCAGAAACCGTTACAATCCACAACGAGTTTTCATTCTGAACAATCCCCCGAACTAAAAGCCATAATCTTTAGAGCTGAATCAAAAACAATACGAGGCTGACCGTATTTAATAACATTTACTACGTAATATGATAGTTAATTTTTACGTAATATGATTTACGTAATATGATTGTTAAGAAGCGCATAATTTTCAATTGTCATCAGTAAAAGGCATACTAAAGTCTTTATAGATAAATTCATGATGATACATTTTGTTTGCTCTGTCGTGTTTGTCGTCACAATATCTATATAAACGCTGGTCGGTGATGACGGAAGATTTCATCATTAGACGAATGGCTTCGAATTGATTTAAACTCTATCTTCTTCTTATCAGTAATTAATTGCTCTACACTGGAATGTAGATAGTACCTGATCCAGCAAATATATAATTTAACCGGCCTTGACAAGTTCGCATTGAACAATCGAAAATTGAGCCCTATAAGATTGATCAGTTAGAACAGGCAGGAGTTCGCATTAATGTTGGCGCAACGAAAAAATATCAGGGATCTGCTGAGCAGAGAAATCCACGAATAACTATCATATAAGTTCATTTTATATACTTCTCAACAAATTATATATTTGGTTTACAGAGCGTAATGCAGGTGTGGTTAGGACTTCTCTTCGTCGGCGTGCTGGCGGCCGCGACGACCGACGATGGCACCGGCGACACGCTGGACGTGGCCGGCGGAGACCCGAGCTTGGTTCGCGTTAAACGCCAGTGTGAGTGACGTCTTAGTACATAATTTAGGCAGGTATGGCTTCATTGTAGTGAGGAGGAATATTTTGACTAGGTTACTGCAAGTTTAAAAGCTGTCTTCATTATTCAACAGTCATTTTTATTAAATTGCTTTTCAATTTTTATTTAATGATACGGCCAAAAAGTTTTACATTTTTTATTTTTAGGTATTTCCGGAGTTCTTAAGTTAAGAAGGCAAAATATGTAGTCTTAATACTTTAAGTAATGCTGGAATTAGTTACCTACCAGGATTAATAAGGATCAAAATACATTAATAATAATGCATTTATGTCAATATAATACGTTTTTTTACCCAATCAGTCGGACGCTGCCAATAAAAGCATTTTTTAGTTCTAGTAATTTTCACTTCGAACGTTTAATAAAATTATACATGTCTTCAAGTATCTTTTTTTTCAAGGTTTTCAGGATGTATTTTTCATACCAACGGATCAATTTCATTTGCAAAACGTTCAAAAATTTCCCACCTTGTTAAGATTGATCTAAACTTCTAAAGTTTTCGTTAAACCATCGACTACATCTTCTTTAGTATAAATTTTTTTTCATGATTCACCAAAATGGAGAATCGCTTCTTGGTCTTTAAATTGATTCACTAATGAAGCTACACGATATTGGCATAAAAGAAACACCGAGTTTTTTGAGCTGCCAGAAATCAGAAATTTATGCTGGTAGTTTTTTCGAGTCTAACTCTTTGTATTTAATTCCCTGTAAGTTTAGATCTTAATTAAGAGAATCTTTTAGATTCTGGAACATCATTTCTTATATATCAATTAGAATACTTTGTTTGTGCATATTAACGTCTAATTCAAACGTTGAATTTCAGTCAATAACTTCGGACACTTTCAAGGCCATCACGGAGGATTTTTCCCTCACAACCACGGCGGATTCTTCCCACAAAATCAGCATTTCCCGCAGGGTGAGTAGCCAAGAACAAAATACTATTAGAAAACAAAGTTCTCACTAAACCTTATTCGTATGAGTCACCTTACAAATGACAGCAAGTTGCACTTCCATCTGAGCTTATGTACATTCTTATACAGTGAAGCCAGCAAGTCGACTTTAATTCGCTGAAGCGTTAATCCGCTTACTCCTGAAGCGTCGAGTCCGAATAATTTTCTGCGAAAAATTGCTGAAAACCAGAAAAATTCGGTCTTCACTTACAAAAAAAAAATTCCATTAATGAGTGCATTTCAGCATGAATAAAAACAATGAAAATACGTAGCATAATACACCGTTTAATTATGTAATTTTCATTTATCAATTTATATGGCAATTTGAATTTTCTGGCCGATTCTGAAACACGGTGTGAGTCATTCTCGTACCTTTTAGTGACCGACAGTTTAAAGTCGAGAGTTCTTCTTATATTTATCATTCTCTGAATATATCTCCATCTCTGTTGTAGCTTTCTTGGACTCATTTTATTCGCTATAAAGAAAATTAAATTTCGTAAAACACACAAAAAGAGCAGCATAGTCAGGAATCTCAGAAACCAAGTACGAGATTCCTGAACAACGCAGCGGTGCTGAACAGCGGAGGAGGAGCGATGCAGAGCGGTGTTTGTTTGTCTCTAAATTTCCGTACTTCTGAGTAAAGACTTTGGCAAAATTTTTTATCGAGTTTAAAACCGGTTGAATTTTGGAAGCCACTGCTCACATGACCGAGATCCGAAATGAAATAAAAGTTTAAAGTATGTCAAATTAGTTAACAATCAAATAACCTCATTGCATTTTAAAAACTAAGCTAAACTACACCATGCACGCGTATACGAGGTAACTTCGATAAATTTTATACGCCAGCAAAAAAAAATGAATATTTTATGTTTGATTGAAAATTTGTGTGCTAAAAATTTCAAGCCCATGTAATCTTTATACCAGTGCAATGACAATGTAACTTCCATATGGAATTGCAATAATATTTAATAATAATATATTCTTTTTTAAGTGGGTGCTATAAATCTACATAGTCCGGCTGTTAAATCATCAGCCACCTAACTAACCATTAAAAACGACCGCCTCAAACTTAGCATCAGGAGAAGCTGTATCATAAATGAATGGAATAAACGAAAGGGCGAAAAATATTTTTCCACATGTAACTATCATAATACCTACATGAGGATGCTAATTCATTTAGGACAGTGGATGAGAGGTAGGTCGATTAACTTCACAGTCATGAACTCTGCAAGTCTGTGTCTACTATGGATGGCTTCATCTATGCTTGGGGGATTTTTTTATTTTTGCTTCATCTCAACTATTAATGTAGTTACCGCGCAAGCTTTATTCAAAGAAATGTTGAACGTCATTGTAGGCAATATATTTTTGAAGAAGGCAATCGATACAACACCGCATTCGGTCCCCTTGAACGAATGTGTGGGAACGGTACAGTTTGTTCCAGAAGCACAATCTTGTAAACTCTTGAAATTTTTTACGAACTTGCGTTAAAGTTTATTATTTATTTAATATTTTTATTCATCCCAATTAATGTAATTACCGCACAAGCTTCATTAATAGGAATGGTGAACGTCATTGTAGGAAATATCATTTTAAGGAATGCAATCGATAACACCTCATTCGGTCCCATTGAACGAATGTGTGGAAACTGTACAGCCTTTGTTCCAGAAGTAAAATCTTGTAAACTCTTGAAATTATTTACGAACTTGCGTTAAAGTTTAGATGAAGCTTCGGACAATAGACTGGCGAGATAGGAATTGTCAGGTGAATTTGATATATTATTCACCTATTTTTATTACACGTTTCACTGAACACGGAGATTATCTACAACATCAGGTTTCCGTTTTGTGTTTCATTAATTTGTCAGATTTTGGGCTATGCCGCTTTTTTCCTTACCTTAATTCCTCCCATCATCCTTTATACTGTTTTAAAAAAACTTTTTTAAACCTTCCGATTCATTTTTTTGTTCGTTGATTTATATGCACTGGAATTTTACCTGTTTTTTTTTTGTTATTGGCAGCCAGCAGCCAGTTTTTTTTCGGGGTAATACATGTAGCTTGCATACCTTACACAATAATGTAACCTTTCTTATCAGCTATTATTATCGGCTATTAATAAATAATCTAACCATGAATATTGTGATGTTACGATACGTAACATATGACCAGAAATCTATCTGTGTATCCAAAGCATTTTTTCGATAAAATATTTTGAATGATACGTAACATATGACCAGAAATCTATCTGTGTATCCAAATCAATTTTTCGATAAAATATTTTGAATCAATAAGTAGTCGTTTAATACGAAGAGACCAAGTTTCTAATCGCAGTGACAGGCATGCAGGGCCTTATTAACGAATCGTGTTTCTTTCCATGACGAAAATTCAATACTCATTAAAACACTGCAATGATATAACAGTAATCAAAATAAGTATCTATCGCCTTATATTGCTGGTAGTCTAATCAAGTAGAACTTACGCTTCCCACTAACCAATTATAGTTTAAGGCTACTACCGCAGTCAAGCAATGCTTTTGCTTCCCACTTACTGATTATACTGTATAATATTGTTAGGACCACAATTAATTTAAGCTTCCGCTTCTCGCAAACTGATAACATTGTACTGTTAATGCCACCGCCCCGTTGAAAAGAAAGCTTTCCAATCATAATATTTAAATTATTGATAAAGTTAGAACCATGTATCGATCTTGTGTCATAATGTACTGTTACCAGTATCCTGTGAAGGTAGTTTTTCTCAATGACCATTTTCCAAAATACGATGCAGTGTCGGTGCAACGTATTACGTATCTTATGTCTTGTTCTGTCAATCTGTCAAAGCACGAGCTGTGAAGACAACGCTTCTCGATGAACAAATTAAAAAATGTGGCCAGTCGCTGCAACGTATCTTGTGTCATATTGTTCCGGTGATAGCACGAGTTGTAAAAACAACTATAAACGAATGCTAAAATGTGATCAGCAAAGAATTTTTTATCTTATTGTACTGTCAATAACATAACCCCCGCATTACCTCTCCTCCTCCTGACCCCATCCCAGGTCAGCGGTTTCCCGGTCACGGTCAGTCATCAGTCAGTTTCCCAGGCCAGGGTCCCCAGACGTTTATAAGAGGTGTGCAGAAAAAAAACTGTAACCAATCACTAATTCTCAGAAGTTCAGTAATGAACTCATCATGCATGGTATGAATTATGGCCGAAGTTGGTGCACGTTGACATCTGTACAGTGTTGATAATCCACTTCACTGGTGTTGGTTTATGTTGGCAATGCATATATTCTATTGCACCTAATGATGATTAATCATTTTGTCGTATGTTGAGAAAGTTGAGTTTTTGTAAACTGGTTGAGGGTAAAAAACCGTATTTTTCTGTGCACTTTTTGTTTTTAACAAAGTTTCTATAATATAAGGTGTAGATTCTACGTATTAATTTTTACGACCTTCAACATCATTCACAATATCCGCAGTGTTGGCATATTTCAGCTTGCATTGGATTTTCCCGATTTCACTGAATTCAAACAAGTTTGCTCACTTCAACTGACTTGTCAACAGCCCCATTTTTGCATGACCAACCTAAATTCAACCATTTCATGTAATGTTGCTCCCGATTCTGATGAATGCAAAAAAAGGTTCAACATGAATTCATTTGAACCCACTGTTTTTGAGTCACAATTAATATGCCTTTTTTTAATCTGATATTTGCTTGTGAAAATAATGATGAACTGTTGGATTTTTAGACTTGCATACACATTTGGCTAAGAATTAACTTGAAAATGTAAAAATAGAAATTAAATTTCGATTGATTCACATATGAATTATATTTGTTGGTTAATCTGTAACCCCAATCAACATTTCCAAAGAGGCCAACGGAGCAATAAAATATATTTATATAAATATGGAGCCCGTCTAGAAGCAGTTTCAATATTTATCTCCAAACTAAAGTAATATACAATCGATCCAGGCTATAGAATCACATCACCTTTACAACCGATCACTCATTTGCGATTAAGTTTAATTTCAGAACAGTTTACGTTCCGGTTCATCGTCGTTCTTTACATTTAGCACTATTAATATTCGCTGCCGCTTTTTTGCAGTTGCAATGCGCAAGAGTGCTGACAACTAATTTTCTGTTCATTAACATCCACTATATCCTATTTCGAAACCGACTTTAAAGAGAAAATTTTTCTGAATATGATTTGGTTGCAATTTTTTTGCATTTGCACACATTTAATAACCCGAATTATATGAAATCAAATAAATTACATTTTCTAAAGAAAATTCTCATTTTACTTAAATTACATTCTTGCGAGTCAAAGAATCGCTCTGAAAACTTGAGCACGCAGTAACTGCATTGCTTTATGCGACGATTTTATGATAATAAAGCCTATGATACTAAGACTACTTCGGACGATATAGTGACGCCGGTTTCTTTTTCTGACCTTTCTGCAGGTGAAAACTCGGAAAACCTCGTAAGGCGGAAGAGAAACCGTAAGTCATAAGAGTTTTTCAACCCCGCCCACTGGGTTGCAGGTCTATCTATTTGCTAATCTATTTTGTTTTTGGGTGAATAACATCTTTACTAATTGCTAAGCTTCCCGGTTTCGCATTAAATGCATCGAATTTAGAAAATGCGTAATGCATCTGGACGATTTTGTTGAGTTGATTAATTTGCATGGGTCTCTGTAATGATTTACCGGCATTATGATATACATATGTATTCTTTTTAGTACTTCAGTAGGATTTTTTACTGAAATTATTGTGCTTCTAATGAAATAGGTAAATATTAGATGTACCATTCTAACCAAAAGAAAAATGGTTATTTTTTCTGACCGTCAAAAAATTGCCTCTGGGCTTGCCGACTTTTGATTTTGACAAAATTCCTGGTAAAACGATTCTTCTTTTAAATGTTCAGCATCTGCAACCGCGAATGTTGGTCTGTTTCTTTTTAGGAAGCATATTTACGCACAGAAGCACAATGATAATAGTTTCTTTCCCTTATAAAGTTCTACAATTAATCGGCACATCAATTAACGAATTGAAAATTCGCATTGATTTATAAGCAGTATTACTTTTTAAATTCAACATTTTCAAATTTCATATGGCATGATATCGAAGCAATATTGAAACCATAAGAAGTTGTTACAATTTATAACGGATTGTTGCTGTCAGAATTTTTGTTCGTCACTGCCCGGTAATAGACTTTTATGGGCTCGGAAACACTTTCATAAGTATTAGGAATATTAAATTATAAAACCCTCGTCATTTAGTGACAGCCGCAAACTCAAAATAATAGAAGCAAATTAATACCATAAAAATAAATGTTATAAACTTTGATTGCTGACAGTTTGTGCCTAACCAGCAGATCACCATAAACTCTTATCTGTATTTCTTGCCATTGATGACGAAATTACGCAAGTCTGAGATTTTGTCTACATAATTCCATGTTCTACCATAATTTTTTTATTCCATGTAGCTTGTTGAATTGTAACGCGATAAATTTATGCAGCATGACCAAAGGTTCTAGAAGAATTACCGTGTCATTGACTAGAAAATTCGTTCGATGATAAGGGTTTTCTGACATGGATGTAAATTTTTCTCTATTGACCGCCTTTAAGTATTAGGAATATTAAATTATAAAACCCTCGTCATTTATTGACAGCCGCAAACTCAAAAAAATAGAAGCAAATTAATACCACAAAATAAATGTTATAAACTTTGATCGCTGACAGTTTGTGCCTAACCAGCAGATCACCATAAACTCTTATCTGTATTTCTTGCCATTGATGACGAAATTAGGCAAGTCTGAGATTTTGTCTACATAATTCCATGTTCTACCATAATTTTTAGAATTCCATGTAGCTTGTTGAATCGTACATCGATAAATTTATGCAGCATGACTCTAGGTTCTAGAAGAATTACCGTGTCATTGACTAGAAAATTCGTTCGATGATAAGGGTTTTCTGACATGGATGTAAATTTTTCTCTATTGACCGCCTTCTCGTTATAGATTGTGCCAAATTGACAAGCAATTCTGAAGCAATTGAAATGCTTAAGGTGAATTGATGATACTGTAACAAATCTCGCACAGTTTCGTTTTTTGACGAATGTCCTGCGTATTTTTCAAATGAATTCAAATGCTCATCCATAAAATTCAATAAATCTTACTAATTCAATTCTGATCAAGCTTAAAATTAATTAATTAATTACTTTCACGTTAGCAAAAACACAAAAACCTATACCAATAGACTCAATCTCTGTTTATAATGTCGTCCCAACTGTAACATTTAAGTTGAAGTAAAATACGTTGCTCCTCTCTCAGGTCCTCATGGCTACGTTCCTGCTAATCAAGGCTTCGGTCCTAGCGCATTCCCCGGCAACGCGGCACCCAAGAACTGTAAAGGCAACCGCCGGTTTCTGCCTGAATGTTTAGCGGTAAACTTTGGTGACCCGGACGCGGCAAACTGAATTATTTATTTATTGTATTATTTATTATTTTATTTATTATATTATTTATTAATTTTATTATATTTGTCATTTATTGATAAATTTTCCATGAATTACTTTCAGCAGAGTCGTAATCAGTATTAATTTTATTAACCTGCAATTAGGAGTTAATCTAAAATTCGTTGTAAAGTTACCTCATCCTCTTAGTAACAAAATTTTTGCAACCAATTGATTTGATTTGCCACTATTTTTCTGAAATATAACTTTATTTCCCACATACGGTTTCGGTAAATGATTTCGTGGTAATTATAGAAAAAATTACTTAACGTTGACTTAGTTATTCACGCTGAAATGACTGCTTATTTCAAGTCGTATAGAAGATAACTCAAAGAAATTGATTAGTGAAACAGTGATCTTAGAATGTTCAATTTCAGAACGCAGAAGAAATCCCCGGATGTTCTCTATCGTTTTTGCTTGCGTACCTGTAGTGATTGTTCACAGATTTATTCTTACCTTCAAGATTCACTCGGCTAAATCTATAATAATCTGTCCAAGTTTGTCTGTTACTTTTTTCTGTAGTCTTGCGCTGTATATCCAAGGTTATGTATCTACGACGTTATAGTATCGGGGTATTATCTAGGACCTGAAAATTAATTCTTAGGAGAATAATAAGGCATTGCAAAACTGGTAAGGGAGGATTGTAACAAAAATGTACATTTTATTTTTATATCGGCGCACATAAATTTTTTAAAGGCCGCAAATTATATTTTCAGATTTCGAAACGAGTGTCAAATGGGGCTTTTATCTAAAATGTTGGATTGGACCACTTAATTGACAAATATCAAAAACTGCTCTGTCTGATAAGCCACTCTTTTAGATTGAGAATCCCGAAAAAAAACATCCATCAAGTGAAAGGTCTTCTGCCTCGAGCTCATTCTTCAAATTCAAATTTCACTTGGGCTGAAATACTCTTTTTGCCAGATACATTTTTGTTTTTTCAGATACATTATATAAGACATTTTCAACGAAACTCGTCCAATAGAAGTTTCAAAGGTGTGATTTGGACATGTACAAGTAACCACTCAAATGTATTTGCAAAAAATAAATTTTCCTTCAGAACGCTGCAGCTAACAACCCTAAGAACTGCAAGGGAATGAGGAAGCATCGACCAGAGTGCAACATTCAAACGGCGCCTCTTCACGATGAAAGTGAGCCGTTAAATTAACAAAAACTAGGATGCCTTCGTCATACTTCAGTAATGTTTAAAATAAAACGGTTGGTTTCGTAACTTTGAGATTTCGTAACTTCACTGATTGAGAATGATATTTTTGGTTTCGGTTTGATTTTTTACAGTTAATGCGCTAAATAGGTTGATATTCGTTTAAGAACAATTTTAAATTTTAGAAAAAATGGTAAAATCAATATTTACAAATGGTTAAGTTTTTAAATCCGGAAAATCCCGTAATTTATCTAAAAGTTAAATGTAAGTTTTCTGCAAATACTTTGTCATTGCGACATCTTGATTTTATAACCACAACTAAGATTAGTTAATATTTGGTGGTATAAGGGCAACCCACTTTGATGAGATTTGTAATGGAGTCGAATTGGCACATTCCTCACATGACGGCATGTTCTTAAATGTATTTCTGTTCATATGAAGCCTTCTTTATTGCATGGTCGAGCGAACGCGTTTGACATGAACGGCAAAATCACTTTTTATTACTTTGTCTCATTCATTTTTAGCTTATCTCTTATTAATCGGCCTTGCCAATGATTTGCCGTCCTTAATAATTGGCCTTGCCGAATAATGAGTCGAAAGGTATAATAGTACTTTTTAAGTTTAGAAAGAACATCGCAGGTACATAAAATACCAATTTTATGTTCATGTCTAGAAGGGAGTTAACTACAAGAAATGCCCTTACTTGCACCAAACTAAAAAAAAATAAAAAAAAAATAGACACACGCCGCCGGGAAAATATACTCAACGATCATCATTATAATAAAAAATTATTCTTGTTTCAGAGGTGATTTCGGCTTTCGAAAACATCGATTGGCTATCCCAACTCTCGCAGGACAATCATTCCATCGGTCTCCCCAACCTGCCTGACACTCCGACCGCTCAAGCTCAGTCCAGGAACTTCTTGCTGGGCGTCAACCAGCCCGACGTGCCTTTCCAGCAGTGCAGGACTCCTCGCTTCCAGCCTGGGCACTGCCGCTACCTGCAGCACTGCATCCTGCAGGACTTTGTCTTCAGCTTCCAGGCCTTCTTGCAATACGTGTGCTTCATCCAGGGGACGTGAGTACCGTACTACCAATATCCTAGAATAATGTTGTTCCAAAGTAAGTTTAATGTGTTTAATGTTGTTGTTGTTAATGTTGTTGTAAATTAATGTTTTAATGTGTTTAATGTTCTTCCAATGTTTATAGCAATGAGAACACAAGTTATGCTTCACTTTGACATGGCGTATTTTATCTCGAGAAGAAAATTAAAAGTAGAAATATTCAATAAACATACTTCGTCATAGATAGTGTTTTCTACAAAGTGCCTTGTTCAATTTGTTTCTGAGGGTAGTTTAACCGTAACAAATTCCAACGCTACTGATTATAGTGAACAATTTGATTTTAATTAGTGACATTGTTTATATTGCAAGCTCCCTGAAATGTATTTCTGCGCTCAGGTATGTCGGCGTGTGCTGTCCCGACAGCAGGTACCCTCAGTCCAGCACCACAACCACGTCCAGCACCACCACAACCACCACTCCTCGACCAACCCCATCTTCTGGCCTGGCTAACAGAGGTTTGAACTGCCTCCAATAAAAAGTCTATTTTACAAAAATCAAAAGTTCCATTTCCAATGCAATACTCATTTTATTTGGTGAATAAAGACGTTCACGTTCCTAACGAGGCCTTGCCCTTTATGGTGAAGTATTTGTTATATCTACTCCGTCAATAATTGATCAATGACATTCCTACCTACGTCATTAGATCACTCATGCTATTTCTACCTGCATCATAAATTGGTCAATGTTACTTCTTCCGGTATCTTTAATTTATCGAAACTACTACATCCTGCATCAAAAATTTATCAGTGTTATACCTACCTGCATCATTAATTGCTCAGCGCTATTCCTACCTACATCATAAATTGATCGAAGCTACTCCTTCCTGCATCATTAATTGATCAGTGTTATTCCTGCCAGCATCATTAACTTAACGTTTGGGATGTTTCTTTTCATAAACTTTTCAAGCATTTTTACTGCATGTAGTCGTACTTTCAACAAGAGAAAATGTTTTCAATTATTCTCAACAAATATCTCTCTTTTGCGGAATAATTGGACAAATGCCGCCCTGTACATTCGTCGAATGATCTGGGTGCTTTTTGTAACAGGAGCATAAATATTGGATGATTCCTCTTTTTTATTTAAGTATTTCTAATATACGGTCAGATATAACGTCCCAAATCCCATGCATTTTATTTTCCTATGTGCCCTTTTGCCAATTTCCCCCGCAACACAAAAATACGTAAATAAATGAATACCTATATCCCATAACAGCTTCACGGCTGACCGAATCATGGTGCGTCTGGGGGAGTACACGTTTGACAACCCCGACGACTCTGAGCACCACGACTATCCCGTCCAGTCCATCCAGAAGCACCTGGGCTACAACACAACCACCTTCGTCAACGACATCGCTATCCTGTCCCTGCCTCAAGCAGTGGCCTTCAACAACGACGTGTGGCCAGTGTGTCTGCCTACAGCCGGGCCTCTCTACACTGACGCAGAGGCAACTGTAACCGGTGAGTGACACGGTTTTGTTTTTTGAACCACTTCTTGAGCCACTAATGACAACACACTGACGCTAGGCAACCATAACTGGTGGGTGACATGGTTTGGCTTTTTGAACCAACTTTAAGAACACACACTGACTCTGACATCGGGCAACTGTTACTGGTAGGTGACATGGTTTTGCTTTTTGAACCACTTTTTGAACCACCTATAACAACGCACACTGACGCTAGGCAAATGTAACTAAGTGATGCAGCCTATTCGAATTTCAGCGTTATCCAACATTCACGCGAGTTATTTAATAAATTATTTTATACATAATTATTTTTCATGCATGCTCGACCACAGTGGTTCCCAAATTATGGAACGCACACCTTTGCACGCAAGGGCCGTACAGGTGCAACTCGACCGCTCTCAATTTCAGGAACTTGCTTCTTTTTGGTTATTACTTGACAAAATGATTTATTTCTAACGCAAATTAATTCGGAAATAATATACAGCTCTTGACGAACACCACACTAACCACCCAGTCCAAATGTCTCACCGTAACGTTCAAGAAACACATTTATTTAATTTAATTAATGCGCTAACCATTAGTGCATGAAATAAGATGGAATGCAAATGCAATAGCACATATTAACGGCTGACATGAGGTATATATTATACTGGATTGCATCTGGTGTTGGGCGATGACTGTATGGTTCTTCGAAGGGTACCCGATCGCAGAAATCTTAGATACCACTGCTCGGAAACATTCACTCAAATTATAATATGTTTCTCAGAAATCAGATCCAATAAAACACTAGTTTAAAAATAACAAACATCAGTTATAACGTAAAATATACGTCATATTCAGCTAGAAGTCGTTATCTGACTTCTGTTTCGTCATTTAATATTCTTCCCTTTGCTGTTAATCTCTTGAAATGGCTTGCAGCATTTCTGAAAAAAGTACGAGAATTTTTTATCTAAGTTATCAGTTTTAGCTATTGAAATCAGCCAAAACTTTGTAATTTACTTGATGTGTGCGCATTGTAACCCAACGTGTATAGCATTAAAACTAGGAAAATATCTGCTGAAAGGATGATCTTTATTTTTACGCTTTATTGAGAAATCAAGTAATAATCGATCGTGAACGATCTATCAATGATTTAAAATTCCTTGTATTATTCCTTGTATTATTCTTTGTATTATTAGGTTTTCCTTGTTTTATTTCAATTTAGAGCTAAGCTTAATTTTAGTGAAACTCAAATTGCAACCTTCACCAGCTATAGGTTCATTACACTTTTATGCTTGCAAAACGGATCTTCAAATTGCCTTTCAGGATGGGGTACGATCTACTTCGGAGGCCCAGTAGCCAAGACTTTGCAGGAAGTTACCATCCCCGTCTGGACGAACAAAGACTGTGACGACACATACGAGCAACCGATCGTGGACACCGTCTTGTGCGCGGGCGCCAAAACCGGCGGCAAGGACTCTTGCCAGGTATAGAGAGCGTGAAAGTTTTTTGTTTGTGTAATCAGTAAATTATACATTTAAGCAAAAAATTTGCTATGTGAATTTGATTTGTGTATGATTTGCTTAAAACTGTATTGGTCTAAACCCTGTTTTAAAGTATGTGGTTGTAGTAATCGTTAGGACCAACGTTTAAATTTGTTTCAAAAAACCCTACTTCGATCCAAAGTCTGAAAAGTTTCATTGTAGTCCTCTGCTGCTTTGAGCTTTCTTTCATCGATATCTAGATTAATATATTAACATGCAACGAGGTATATATGTAAATTAAATTTATTAAAAGCATGATTATCGTACAGGGTGACAGTGGCGGCCCCCTGCTGCTGCGCTCAGAAACGGGTCGTTGGGAGGCGATCGGCATCGTCTCCTGGGGCATACGCTGCGCCGAGCCCGGCTTCCCTGGCGTCTACACGCGCGTCAACAGATATCTTGACTGGATACAGCAAAACTCTATCTAAAATACCACTCTCGTCGTCTGAAAATTGGACATTATTGAAAACGTTGGCTTGAAAATTGGACATTATTGAAAACGCTGGCTGTTGAAACTCACTGAACTGTTAAACGCTGAAAACGTTAAACTGTTAAACGCTGAAACTGCTTGAACTGTTAAATGACCTCTGAACGATTTTTGTTATTTGTATGTTTTACGCATAAACGTTCGAAATTCTTCTTACATCAAGACTATTATTTTTGGTGCATCACCATTAAGTATAGCGATTGAATATCTTGTAAATGAGTTTCTGACGATTTACAGGATAAAATTATGCTTTAAATTCAGAGTAAACTTTACAATGGCCCCTTGATGCATGGGACTGAACATGAGCAGATGTATTTATATACTGGTAAAGTGTTGAGAATTAGAAGTTGCTTTGATTAAATTCACCAGATTTAAAATTCTTCTTCATGATGTGCCTAAGGACTCCATGTGATTTAGCATGAAGCTTCAGTAAATTTTTACGGAATTTTCATCATAAGGTGAACGCAATCATCATATTTTTACTTTATGGTTTGAAAGAAATTTATATTTATTCATTTTATTATTGCGTAACCGGAGGCGCGGCTAATAAAATGTTGACAGTAGATTTTTTTCTTGATAAAAGGATGTTTCTTATGATAATAGTACAATATTATTTACTTTCAAACAATTGATTGATACATTTGAAATTCTGAAGGCAGTAGTGCCCAGAAAATCCCAATATGAAATATTTCATTTCTGTCGCAATATTCAACAAGACTGCAAAACTATTAGAATCTCAATGTTTTAGCTATAGCGATCTAGAAGTATTCTTCTGTCCAGACTTATTTATAAATAGTCACTAAAATTAAATCATGGTTATAGATTTTTATGATATTTACACCCTGTTAGGGCTGCCGGGATATTTATCGCAGCAGGACCATCGGCAATCAACTAGATTTAAACAAATAATCATATTTATTATAATGGCTGGCTCACATTGCAGAGATTAAAAGACTTCCTCAACTTTTCACTGTTAGGCATTCGCATTTTGGGTGAGGCCAGTAGTTTTTTTATGATTAATTTTCATAGTAAAACCAGTGCATTTTCTTCCGTAAATGTGTTTCACTTCCCAAAATTTGCTCGTGCACGAGAAAAAATGCGTGAATGCTTTCCAGTATTTATTTATGAAATTTACTGCTTAAGTACCTAACGCTGTCCTCAATATGTTCATAGATAGTGGATGTTTCTACATTGAGTAGGATTGAGTTTTACCATTGGAAAACTTATAATTTTACAATTTTATGAGTATCAATTCAGTTATTTCTAAAATGGAATTGGTATTCATAACTTTTCAAATTCAAATCGAAAGTTCTCGCAAACCTTGAAATTTATTCACTTTAGAGCGTTAAAAAGTCTTAAAAAAAATTTCAAGAGTATCAGTTCAGCCGGGTCTAAAATGGAATTAGTATTCAATATATTTTGACTCCAAATCGGATGTTTTCGCTTTGAAGTGACAAAAAATCTGTTAAAATTTCTTGAGTATCAGTTCAACCGTTTCTAAATAGAATTAGTATTCATAACTTTTCACATTCAACCCTAAAGTTCTCCAAAACCTAAGAATTTGTTCACTCTAACGTGGCGAAAAATCTTACATTATTTCACGAGTATCAGTTCAGTTGTTTCTAAAATAGATTTGGTATGCATAACTTCTTAAATTCAACTCGGATGTTCTCCCAAACCTAGATATTTACTAACTTTCAGCGGCAAAAAGTCTGCTAAAATGTCACGAGTAGCAGTTCAGCATTTTCTAGAATAGAATTTGTTTTCAGCACTATTGAATTCAGCTCGACAATTTTTCCAAACCTGGAAATTTATTTAATTTAATTCAGCAAAGAGTCTGTTATAATTAAAAGACTCTTTCTCCGAAAACTATCACCAGATAACTCCTTCACACAAAATCTCATTTTATGTTTTTTGCAATTCCTTCTAAAATTTTTTGAGACAATATTATGTCTTGCTTGTCAAATAATTGCTGGCGAAACGAGCTTCAGACAAGAAGGTCAATAAAACGAGTTTTAAAAAAATTATACACAATTATGAGCCAACATTCAAGCTTACTAAATGATGAGTGGGGAGCAATGATGTGAAGGGAGCATAATCAACATATTTTAGCCATGCAGCCATGTTTCAACTCCTGAAGTAGACTAAGATCGTAACTCAGACTCTTTTAATATAGTAAGCCCAAAATAGTATTTTTAAAATAATCAACATTTCCATGTATGCATTATCTTTAAACACCTAATCCTCTCAGAAAATCGTTTCAGTTTTTTTTATTCCAATGGGTTGTTTATTTGCTAAAGCGTTTTTTTTACTTTTCATCATTTTGATATCTAGTAAAAACAGCAAGAAAAATAACATCATGGCAATACAACTATGGAAATTTTTGTGCATTGTAAACTTCGCAATAAAAAAGTTGATAACTAAACATTTTCGCCCAAAATCATTGCTTGGCAATTTCTGGCGACTTTAAATGGTACCTTATTTTAATCAGGTTTCAGCGGCTAAAATTAAAAACACTATTAAAGTCTTAATAACCTTTAACATTGACAAGCAAACAATAATAGACAAAAATGTATTTCGCCAGATTTAATGGGCAAAATCAATTTCGGACATGAGTCGGTTGTTTTAAAAATATCTGGGAAATTTACGTTTTTTACCCATGTCCTTTTGTTACTAGAACAGAATAAATGAGAATAATAAACTGAAGATATTAGAAACTGAAACTTTTAATATAGCTTTCAATCAATATGATTCGTTAATAAATCTAAAAGCGACTAAAGTTAAATAAAGTTATATACAAAATATTCGAATGCCCCTTTAGCTGCTCTGTTGAGTGTACCACCTCCAGCCTCAACAAACGCTATCAGTAAAACTCGTATTATGCATATTCTATCTCAACGCAGGAGTTTCATAACAAACCAAACCTAACGACATTTTTATTCCTGAGAATACTAAGCTGAAATATCAGCAATTTCAGTGTACGATCCAAGTTTAAGATTATTGATTGTGGGCGGAATAAGTGAATTCGTGCGTCATTGTACTGTATCGAATGATTCTTATGAATGAATAAAGCAGCTGATGCCTATAACATTTATCAACTTCGAAAAAAAGATAAGTGAAGTTTCGGAATAATAATTAATTAATAAATTAAGCCTATCAAAACAGCTAATGCGTGAATACAACATTTGAAATCCCTTCGAATTCTTATAATAATGGTAATTATATTTTAAAATAACTTTTTCATAACTTTTAATTGTTCTCGAATTCACAAAAAACTGTATACTGACAACCTGAGAGGTGCCGGATTCTCATCCTAATTAAGCAATCAAATTTCAAAAATGTTCCCTGTAGCGAGCGAAGCGATGTATTTAGCGATGTATTGCGCATTTAGTCCTCCGTGTTTGTTGAATTGAAGAATCAGGTGCATTGAGAGCAAATTTTTTTTGTCGTTTATTGGTTGTAGAGCGAAACACGCTCCTAAATCCTTGACACGTCACCTGGAGAGATAAAATATCAAAGATTACACTATGTTGGCAGCACATTAGTGAAATTTTTTTCAAGGTATTCCTCCAAATTAAAAAGTTGAATAAACTAAGATCATTCATCCAATAGAGAATTTCATTACGCTAACCTGCAATTTTGCAAAGTTATCAGAATAGTCGGAGGGCCGACACAATATCGAAATTTTAGTTATTTTAAAGATATTATGCATGACTGTAGTAAAAGTATTTGCAACCACAGAACAACCTACCAATGTGTCCGTCATTCAGAAACACAAGCATTTGACGGGATCCGATCCTGCGGATGGAGGTACGTCTTCTTCTGCTGTCCGTATCACTAGAACGATTCCCTCTGTTGTCTCTGGATTCTGACTCGTTCCCCTCCAGATCTCCGTCAAGATCGGACGCACTTTCACCAGACGCACTTTCTTCTGAGTTGTTGGCGTCCGCCATGTAGTCTTCCTCAGACGAGCCGTACTCGTTAAACTTGAAATCTACGGGAATTTCTCTTGAAAATGAAAGTCCAAGGGAATTTCTAGTGACAGGTCGAGGAGGACGTCGAGATGTGTGACTCACTAGAGAAGATGATTTTGATAATCTTGATCTACGTCCAGGGGCCAACATGTCGGGAGGAAGCGTCACTTTCTTGAAACTCACTTCTTGACCACCTGAGAAAAGTCCGGAACTAGGTTAAGCTGCAATTAATGACATAATGACAACAAGTTATTAGTGAAATTAAAGCATAGTCATTTTCTTTGACATTTTTTGAACCTTTCATCAGATATAATATTGATGAACTAAATTTTTACTAATTAGACTTATGAGGCTGAGGGTTGGTGATTTAAGGATATTCAGCAATTTTAGGACGAGTACATTTAACTTTAATCACTAAAAAAGTTTACCTCGTTTAATTAAAACCCAAAATGAAAACTTCAGATTGGATAATTTTAATACATGTTGGAATAGGTAATTTTCTAGCAGGATAAAATTTACGCCAAAAATTTACTTGACACCAAATGTTAATTTCTTGCAAATGCTGATTTAGAAGATTTGCGCCAGACAAACAATAATTTTTAAATAATGCATGCTATGAAATATATTCCATTTAGCAAAATAAATCTTCGCGTAATTCACGGTTATTATAAGAACAAAGTTACATAGTATATTGAACATAGACAACCGAGATTGTCTGCAATATTGAATTTACCGGTGCTAATATTTCAGTAAGCGTTGAATGGTATTCCGTTAAAAACACAAGGCTTACCAACGAATTGTCTGCCAGATGAATTGACTTCTTCATCGTCATATTCGTCGTTGTCGAATTGATCCAAGCTAGGGTCTATCTGCTGTACGGTGACCATTGTTGGATCCGTGCCCATTTTCTGGGCTGCTAGAGAGGCATTGTAAATGGAAGACGCTGCGGTAAAGTGGGACCGAAGTTCCAAGTCTCTGACGTCTTTCGAAAGCTGACTTGCAAGATACAATTTTCTAGCATACAAAAATAATACGATAATGGTTGCGCAGGATAAATTTCCTATCACCACTGCCGGGTCTCTGAAATAAAAATCTGCCTTCGTGGCAACAATGGTCCACACGAGCCAGACGACAACGCTCAAGAGAGAAGACAAAAGAATCCATCTCGTTTCTTTGGAATTTTCTTCGTGCTGCCATGTTTCCAGGCTAAATAGAACCGTTGCCGCAATAAGAATCATAACATAAACGAGAGAAATTACAAGGTCGGATTCGAAATATTCAGACGGAGTGCACCTCCAAGTGTTTCCATGAAGATCAACTGCGGGTGGGTATAGAATGAGCCAAGCGCTACACAGCACCACCTGGACCAGCGATAAGCTGATGGCTACAAAGAACAGTACTCCAGGACGAGTAAGCGATATGTAATTTTCTTCGTCGTTGTATGAAGATAGACGCCAGCTGTGCAGAACCTTGACAAGCATGGCAGAAAACGCTATAGCATAGCCAATGCCCATGAGGGAGCGACGAACGGCGCACGTACCCACAGTTGGCTGGAAAATAAAAGCAAAATTCGAAGCGTAAATGAACAAGCATCCAGTCAAAATCATATATCCTAAAACAGAGGTTCCAGCAGCGGTGGGGAAAGTCATCATGAAGTACACGATCGCAACCAAAATAACAATTACTCCTAAGAGGCTCAGAGTTGCGGTGGTGATCCCATACACATTCCTGAAGTTGACGTCAATTGGAAGAGGGTCTGGAAGACGGAGGGCTGCATACACAGTCGACTGAGAAGCACACACCTCCAAGCAGGATCCTTCGTTGCACTGGGATTCCGGTATGAACTTATCTCCGGATTTGAAGCGAAGATTCTTAAAATCTAAATTAATGATGCCATTTTCCCATTTTCCAACACTTGTGTAGCTGTGAGTTCCTCCAATATCGCGATAGTTCCAAAGCTGGAAGCCATACGCACCACCTTGGGTGTAAAGCGAAGTGTCTGTTGAGTCGTTCAGCGTTGATTTTCCTTGATACGCAATCTCCAATAGAACTTCCGACTGAACTATTTTGCAATCGCGTATAGATTCGACGTTTTTACATTGTTTACGCATGTAGGCATCCAATCCGTGCGCTATAGCGTTAACACTAAGAATAGTATGGAACACAAACGGATCTTGGACAATGTCGTCGGCATGCACTCGTTCTGAACCATCACACTCTTTTTTGAAATGCTCAAGTTTTCTTTCTGCCAGGGACAAATGACATTCGAAACGATTCTGATAATAGTCGTGGAACCAAGAATCCGGTATTGGTTCGTGATCATCTAAAGTCATGTTCGCAAGAAACAAACGAAAATCTGGTAAGTCGTACGTTTCCAGAGTAAATGTAAGTGCTCCAGATCCAACTCCATCCAAACCACCAACAAGATCTGGTTTATTTCCCCAAGATTTTCCAGCCAGGAATAAAAATGTGTCTGCTTTACCAAATCTTTGAGCGGCCTCGAGAATGGTTCGAATATTACTTGTATCATCAACAAGCAATATAATAACTCGTGGCTTCCAATGTGCTGAAAGAGCTTCGACAAGCTCCTGTGCATACTCTTCGGACACAATTTTATGGACTCCAAATGTATCCCCAACGCAAATGTGAACAGCTTTAGCTAATTTCTTGAATGTTTTTGCTAAATATTTTCCTACGGAATCATTATCAAATATAATACTGACATACTTCCAGTTCAACTCCCTTAGTATGCTCAGGTAGACATGAAGCTCTGCTGTCCTTGAGGGAACGCTTGAGATGATACTGGCATCCTTCCTGTATCCTTTCATGACCTCTGCCACTGGGGAACTGAAGTGCGGGATGTGGTTAGAGGACAAGATAGAGGATACCGACTCTGCAGCTTCATCGTCGAAACTTAATGATGCCACAATACGATCAGGGGTCATCGAAACAGAAATATCGTTAGCGGCTGTAGCTCCCGAGTAGAAACTGAACATTTGTTCGCGCGCACGTTCGTTTCTGTCACAGTAGTCGAAAAAGATGGCGCCCAAGCCAAGATCATCATCAGTGTTCAAGTTGATCTGCTTCAAGGCATAAACAACGGCGACCAAGTTTTGGAATATTGCCTCGCCGAAGAAGTCACCACATGCAAAGAATTGCTTGCCCTTTTTATGATACGGCACGAGGCCGCTGATGCCAAACCGCTTCTCCGGGTAAATCTGGAACAAAAATATCAAGCAAAAAAATGAAGTAACATTGACTCTGATTTTAAGAATAATATCTAAAAATCAAACTCTACTATAATATGCAGAAATTCTCAATTATTTTACAAAAAAGAGGCTTAGGACTATAATACAATTTTTGTACCATGAAGAATAATCCAAACTCGAGATTAATGATTAAATTTCTAACTTCAGCCTGGATGTCTAATCTTTATTATTTTATTCAAGTTATATCAGTGTAAATCCATAATTAACAACAATTTTAGTTTTTTAATTAATTTTAAAAACTTTCATCACGAAACAAACGTAATGGTGCACCTTAACCATGCGGACTCGTATTTACCTGCGAGTAGAGCCATTCTTAATCGCCTTAAAATGTTGATTAATTTAAACTACTGCCTATGCACCTATTAAAGAGACATGCATTAAGCTTTTTTTCACGTCCGTGCGAATTTTTCTTAAAATAATGATAATTCCCACACACATGGCATTTAGCATTGACGTTAAATTAACTTATCTCATCTATGTGATTACTCTAAATTTTATTCATACTCAAACTTTAACGCATTTGCCATTCAATATTCAGACATTCATGGGTGATTAAAACTGATAGAATATATTGACTTGAGTTTCATCAGTAAAGGAAACGTTTTCTGTTTAATATAACCACAAAACAATCGTGAATTATGAAATCATTAATGCACCATGCATTGAATAAAGTTCTTCATCGGCAAAAGATACTAATTAGAAATAAACCATGGCAATATTAATCTAACCTGTCGCCAAACATTAATTCATCAAAAATAACACATGCACAACAGTCCGATAACTTACTTGCATGTAGTTAACCTCGCCAGCATTCTTGGCCCCAACAATAACTTCTGTTACAGCGGACGTTTTAACTTCTTCTGAAACATGAGAAGATTTTCCACAGAGCGAGGGACCAGCACATTTCGATTGTACGTCTGTCATGGGCCTGGCGTCTCCACGAGCATCGTACGACAATGCCTGAGAAGAGTTCATAAGCAAACCTGTTTGCTCTCCAAATTCGCCAACTTTTACAAGTGTATGGATGCGAGTTTGGCCGATTTCCCGGTAGTTCAAAACCTGTAGAGAGAAAGTAACCATATAAATTTATATTTATTATCGATTGAGCTAAAAATTATCTTATATTTTAATTTGTTGCATTATCTTACATATGAGCGAGGCTAACTATAAAAATAATGTATCCCGGCTCTCCAGTATATCGCCTAATCATTATACGAATAGGTAGATATAATCAGATAGTGAATGGAAAAAAATACTTAATTTCACAAAAAAATTTTTATATGCATTGTTGTGAATTGAATCTTGAAATCTGCTCTTGCATTAAGCAGTAAATGAATTCAGAAACTTGGACCCTGAAACTAGGACAGCTATGTTTCCTGCAAGCCTGTATAAAGAAAACTTGAAAAAGGCCATGTCGGTGTTCATCTATAAAGATATTATATATCGAGATCATATAATACATCGTGTTCTTTTTCCTTAAAAATTCGTAAGAAGATTACTTAATATAATAAAACACGAAATATCGTGTTTGTGTTCATATATCAAAATATTATAATTCTATATCATATATCATATAGTGTTCTCATTTGTTCTTCAAAATGTTTTCTCGGGAGAAGACTTGAGGAATATAATGTTTGTGTTAATATATCACGATACTTTATATCATATAGTGTTCTCCTTCATCCTTAATATCAAAATTAACCTGAAGTACGGCGTGCTCGTTGCGACCATCACTGGCGAAGGCGTAGCTCTGACCGTCCAACGTATGGCCGCGCTCACGCAGCGCTGCTCTGTACATCGTCTCGCGGAACCTCGGGTCTGACACTACAGAGCCGCACTTGGGGTCCACCGTTGCTATAAACATACTTAATACGTTATTAGAGTCATTTAATATCATATCATTATCCGTCGAAATAATGTTTAATTCGGAACGAGAACGACAGATTAACTGGCAAAATTGCAGTCAACAACAACCATCACCTATACCATCAATGACACATAGCTTAAGTCTCCACTCAGAAGCTACTGCACTTAAATCGCCGCTCATTCCTAAAAACCATATAATGCTAGGCAGAACTACGAAATTATGGATTTGATCAACACATAATAACTAGGAAACTGTTACGATAGCGCTAGAAAAGTGTGGCTCAGTTTTGGTCACAAAATTGATCGTTTCTTTTTAATGCTTGCGACATAAGTGTTGTGGCGACGTTATTGGCATTGACGGTAGTCTAATGAATCAGTAATTATATTATTTCGCTCATCGCTCGCGTTTAACGTATGTGAGAAGCCACACTTAATTAGTGCGTGCTTATTTTAAGCCTTTATTAAAACAAATGTCTTGTTTTGTACGAAAGTCATGGGAACAAACCTGATCACAATCACAACGGATGAACTCTTATCACTTTACCGCTACAAAACGAGTCTCCTTTACCTTTATTAAAACAAATGTCATTATTTGTACAATATTCATAGGAACAAACGAGATCACAATCACAGCGGATGGAGTCTAATCAGCATACCGCTACAGAGCGGTAATCCGGCGTAATCGTTCCTGTTTGTCGCAGTTACTGGAGCACCATCACCGTCTGGTGGCCCAGCTGGAGGAGGGAGCTGGCGTGGACGTGGTATACCTAGACTTTGCTAAAGCATTTGACAAAGTTGACCATGGGGTGCTCTTTAGAAAGCTGTTTACCGTTACAGAGCGAGTCAACGGACGCGTGCAGAGCGGCCGAGAGCACCGCGACCGCCTCAGCTGTGGGGGCGACACCCTGAGCTATCCTCAGACGACGCGTGACGTCACCCAGTGTTTGGGACGGTCCCGTCAAGCAGCTGGCACCCTGACACCCAAACACCTGACAAACATTCCAATAAGTTTGTTGTTTATCTGAATAATTAAAACTAAATTAAAACAAAGTTAGAACCTTGACGTTAAAGTAATATTTTTATCTTCTTTTAGATAAATTTATAGGAATCGGGAAAAATTTTGATATTCAAGGTGTAACCAAGATGGTATTTACAAAAATAAATAATGAAGTTTTAACAATGTCAATGAAGTTTCTCCTACCACAGGCCCAAAACATTAATGCGCATAAAATTACATAAGCTGACCCTGTTCATGTACAGTATGGTGGCTCGCAAACCAAAATTTTCGAATTTCAAAATGCTTGAATTCAGGAAATTTTGGTTCTCTGTATAAAAATTAAGTGTACAAAATTTCAGGTCGATAGGAAAAGTTTTGGAGGTTGTACTATCGATCTGAATTTTATGATATTGATATATTACATTTATTGCTTAATTGTCTTGAAATTACTGACAATTCACTTGTTCAATCTGTTTACATACAATGTAACACTATGATATTTGATTTATATCATGTTGGATAACATATGAATATATTTAAATATCAAATCTAGGAATAAATAGAAGTTTCATGGATTTAAATTTGAAGAAGTTTTTATTTAATTTAAATATTTAATTATTTGATAAATCATTCCCAATAAATAAATACCAGCTCAAATTCTTTTCCTATCGACCTAACTATTTTCACAGCTTCTTTTCACACAGAGTTGCAGCTTTCCAGAGGTCATGCATTTTGAAATTCGAAAAATTTAATTTTACCACTAAAAACGAGCCACCCTACAATGTTCAGCCCTTTGCAGAAAAAAGAACATGATTAAAATCTCGTAAAACCCCGACATTAACGACCAAATAGTGAGCAGGATTGAATGTACTAAATTCAAAAAATTGTGAGTAAAAAAATTATTTAAGTCTAACCTGCGCCCAGAATTCAGCAAACCAAGGATACGGCGACGTGTGATTCAGCAAGGACAGACTCAAGAAATGTTCAGCGAACTCGGGAACTGTTCCCATCAGCGACTGGACCACCAGAGTGTTCAGTCCCTGCGAACTGAACATCATATGCATCAAATTACGTAATGATTGATGAACATTGTTCAAAATTATTGAGAGATAAATTTTATAGAATACGTCTGATAACGTCTAATAAATTCATTGTGAATCCGTCAGATAAATATTACTGAGCAAAGATAAAACGTTCTTAATGAAATTGATGCATTTAATGATATATGTTCTGTTTTTACTAGTTGTTCTGGTTATTACTAAGGAAGAAAAAACAATTAATAACACTGAAACTTGAGTGAATCGCAAACAAATAGTCGATTCTGTTATGTATTTCATGAAATAATAATTATACAACCAAATATTTTATTTACACATGATTATTTGACATATTTCAACATTAAATGGCCTAGTCTCGAGTTGAATCAATCAACGAAAATAGCAAAAGTTATAAATCGCATGAGAGATGATAGAATGGTTCGTCCGTGGGGAAATTGATGAATAATTTTACCTTAGTTAGTTTCTAGTAAAATCTAGAATAATTTGAGGAAACTAAATTAATTCAACCTTCCCAAAAAAATTAAGGCCGTTGTCTATGGTAAAGATTCTGAAAAAAATGCCATCTATGGAGTACTCAACCTTAGTTAGTTTATAGTAAAATTGAGAATAATTTTAGGAAACGAAATGAATTCTACTTTCCTAAAAAAATTAAGGCCGTCGTCTAATAAAAATTCTGATAAAAATGTCATTTATTGAGGACTCACGGATCTTTGAGGTAAGGTGCCGGGGACTCAGTCATGAGGAACACAAAGTCCCCCTGCCTGAGGAGGCCCTGGTGCCGAAGGGACGCCTCAGTGAGGAGGAAGAGCTCCAGGTGCGACGGCTGCAGCAGCAACACTACAGCCCGGGCGCCCTTCTGCGCCCCCTCTGCCAGGTGACCCCAAACCTCCAGCATGTGAGTGGGTTCATCTACCTGCGGGGTGTTGGGTATGTTGCGTCATGGTTTGATAGAGCACGAAATATTATTAGGGTTGTTGGTATGTTGTGTCATGCAGTGATAGAGCACGAAAAATTATTAGGGGTGTTGGGTATGTTGCTTCATGCAGTGATGGCGATTGAGCACTAAAAATTATTAGGGGTGTTGGTATGTTGCGTCATGCAGTGATAGAGCACGGAAAATTATTAGGGGTGTTGGGTATGTTGCGTCATGTTTTGATGGCGATAGAGCACTAAAAATTGTTATTTGCACCATTAATGATATTACAAATTTTATTAATGATAATGTTGTGTCATGCATTGATGGCGCTATAGCACTAAAAATTATTATTTGCACCACTAATATTATTACCTATATTATTATTGATAATGTGTATCATCTTTTGATGGCGATAGAGCACGAAAAATTATTATTTGCACCATTGTTATTCTTACAGATATTAATATTGATAATTTTGTTTCATGCATTGATGGCGATAGAGCACTAAAAATTGTTATTTTCACCATGAATATTATAACAGATATTATTAAGGATAATGTTGTTTCATGCATTGATGGCGCAATGGCAGAAAAGTTATTATTTGCACAATCAATATTATTACAGATATATTATCGATAATGATGTATCATGCATTGATGGCGCTATAGCACAAAATATTATTACATGTACCATTATTGTTACTACAGATATTATTATTGATAATGTTGTGTCATGTTTCGATGGCGATAGAGCATGAAAAATTATTATTTGTAACATTATTATTATTACGGATATTATTATTGATAATGTTGTATCATGCATTGATGGCGCTATTGCAGGAAAAATTATTCTTACCACCATTATTATTATTACAGATATTATTATTACAGATATTATTATTGATAATGTTGTTTCATGCATTGATGGCGCTATGGCACGAAAAATTATTATATGTACAATTATTATTACAACAGATATTATTATTGATAATGTTGTTTCATGCATTGATGGCGCTATGGCACGAAAAACTATTATTTGCACCATTAATATTATTACAGATATTATTATTGATAATGTTGTGTCATGCATTGATGGCGCTATAGCACGAAAAATTATTATATGTACCATTATTGTTATTACCGATATTATTATTGATAATGTTGCGTCATGCATTGATGATGCTTTAGCACAAAAAACATTATTTGCACCATTAATATTATTGCATATTATTTGTACCACTAATATTATCTTTGTTACTACATGACGTACAATACTAATAGATGACATGCTTATTCAGGTAGAAATATATTATTAAGCAGTGTGTGTTCATTTAATTGTACATGTTTTTTGAATGACCGCGATAGTTACACTTTATTTTATTTTACACTTTATTTTACTCATGTATGTACGACGGTTATCTATATTACTTTACTGTACTATGTTTAACATCGCAAAACAATTTTCTTAACTATTGAAAATAAGTATGCAAAGAAAAAAAGGTATGTCAAAATAAGTATGGCAGAAGGGTTTGCACCAACCTTAAGAGGAACCGGCTCAGTGACCGCAGGCTGAAGGTCCTGTTTGCTAGCTTCCCTGAGCAGATGCTTTGCGACGTCTCCAGCCTCGCCACCGTCAGAGTACACCACGCTGAACAACGTCCACTTGAACTCCTGCAGCAGTGATACCAGCGCCGCAGCCTGCGAGGAAAGACGGATGTTTAATACAGTTTTTTCAAAAATCTCAGGGTTTTTATGTAAGATAAACTAGTATGTTTTGGTATGATAATACTTTGGAAATCTGGTTTTTGAGAGGCTTGCTATCGGTGGTGCTACATGAGTTGTCCCAGATGAGCTATTTAAGACAGGCCAAACCTAATTTGAGCATAGACACAGATAATTTAAACCAAACACATATTAGTGTCTCAATAAATGATGAGAGCTATTATTGTAAGCTGCGAACTGTTGATTAGATGCCAGCAAACATTCAACTATTACTATTTTGCAGTTATCAATTATTGGATGATACCAAACTTGTTCCATTTGTTTCTTAGAGTTAAAGTAATTAGCGAACTAAAAAAAAATGGAGACTAAAAAGATTGACCTACTCCATCATCTAATTTTGTTATATAACGCTGTCGTTAATCAGGCCTTGGTACAATTATAGTAGTCAAGTAGGTTATACATTTTCATTCAATAATATATACCACATTACAATACAAATAACTTGCTTTAAGATCATTAGAAGGTGCTAGGCGCAGCACTGCTGGGAAGCGTCTGGTGTTGCCGAGGTGTGAGTGTGAAGCCAGCGTTGCGACGCTTGTGATGCCGTAGGGCTGTGTGATGTCTAGAACCTGCTGCGCCATCTCTCCAGTACCACCCACCACCACACCGATGATGTGGCTTGATGATGGCAACTGCCACGATAGTGTCAGTGTTAGCTTTTGGATAATTCAAACTAAATCTTCTTGGGTAATTGCGGATTTCAGGAGTAACTCGTGTAATGTGGTCGAGTGGCTTGATGATTTTCAACAGCCACTACGTGGTTCAAGGATAACTCAACTATATTTTATTGGATAATTGCAGATTTCAGGAGTAACTCATGTAAAATGGGTGAGTGTCTTGATGATTTTCAACTGCCAACACGTGGTTCAAGGATAAATCAACCAAATCGTCTTGGGTAATATCGAAATTTCAGGAGTTACTCATGCAATGTGGGCGAATTCTCTCGTTGACAATACGGCAAGGAGTTCCGGCGCTAATGTAGTGAAAAGTAAAGGCATTTCGAGACGGCAATACATGGAGATTAAAAGAGGCTGTTTATTGTTTAAAATGATTTCAAATTGGAGTAAAATTAGTTCGTTCAACTGGAAAGAGAAAATTAGAAGTAGAAGAAAATGGATTGATGTTTGAATAGCGATCGCGTTTTCCCACAAAAATGGGACGCACGGTAACGACTCTTTTCGCCCCTCGTCATTCACGCACGACAATGACCACAGAAACGCTTCGGCCTCTTGAATGCCATGTAATGCGTATATTTGCATGCAGGCTGATGGTTTCATGTAATCATGTAATATATGAATGTAACTTTTCACCTTTTTTTCATCGCCACCCTTTATTGTGAAAATCACTTACCAACAAAAAAAGGCGATGCACTTGAACGGTAAGTTTTTCTGACTTTTTATGTAGGTAATGTATGTTACCTCATAGTAATGCTCCACCCCTTAGCCCTAGACTGATGAAAAGAGTTCATTGCTTTTTGCCAAAACATTTCCTACTAATTATAACCTATGATCGGTACCGATTGCAGTGGTAATACCGAATTTAATTATTACCAGGCAGTTACGCATATTTCGTTTTCAAAAACATTTCTGGTAGAGAAACTTTACCAAATTGCATGGCTACTTGAGAGAACATGAAACTCGTAAATTGAACTACACTGCTCACTTATGAAGGAAAAAACTGCTCTCTTATAGAAGCAGTTCAGTCGTGGGTGGTTCATATGGGACAGCTTATCCTCCTGTTGTTAACATCACCGATTAAGACAACGAATATTATTGTGTCCACATTCGTATACTCACTCATCTATACTCTGGTAATCTCAGGTATCCACTCAGGTGGAACTCTTTTCACCCGGTCTCTTCTCAGGTCTCTCACTCAAGTAAAACTCTTGGCACCTGGTTCTATTTTGTTATTACAGTTATTTGTTTCACCTGACCCCTCACGGAGATGCACACTTCAGGAAAACTCTTTTCGTACAATCCTACCTCTGATTAATGCGTGCGTGTAATTTGTCTTCTCACCTGTTCTTCCCTGAGTCGTACACACTCAAGTGTAACTTTCACCAGGTTATAACTCCCAGGTCCACACTCTTATATTCTTCTCAACGGGTTCTCTCTCATGTGTTCATTCTATCTTAGGTTCTTATTATTATTATCATTTTCACCTGTTTCCGTCTCAGATGTCCACTGTTAAAAAACAATCTTCTCCCCTGGCCTTACCTCTGAAACTCACATTCGTATTATTCTTATTCTCACCTGGTCCCCTCTCAGAGGTCCACACTCCAGAGGTTTATTGCCCGTCGTATGGACGTTGAGTGCCGCCACGATGTAGAGTTTATCAGGAGACTCGACGAAGATGTAGTCTGTATCCTGATGGGTGCAGGAGGCGGCACATGAGGCCGTACAAGAGGAAGGCAGCTCGTCTAGAGATACCAGCCTCCTATCAGGACCTTCGGCAATGGGGGTCTTCATCGAGAGTTCGCCGTTGAAATAACGACCGATCTGTAAAAAATTGCAGATCCGTATCCAATGAGATAGTTGTATCTTTCAAAGTACGAGGACTGTGTGGTGAAAGTCTCGAAAGTTGAAGCTTTTTCATTAATATTATGAAGTTATATTACATTGAATGTCAATACTAGCTGACTTCGATTATCTTACTCTATGGTTTCAAGCGGGTTTCAACACTTCAGTGTAATGGAACAGTTGTGATATTTTGCAAATTTAGGCTTTTCCATCAGATATAATTTGGTTAAACGGTAAAAATATATTCAGAGCGACAATAGGCATTTATCTGAATACAAAGTTTGGGCCTGTTAAGTAATAGAGTATCTCTCACAAGTATTAGGTAATGCATTACGCGTTACAATGGAAAACTTTTATTCCAGCCGTGAAGAATCTTTGAAAGCCTCTCATATCAAATAGTCACTTCATATTAATTAGATGCTACATTGAATATTCAATGATACACCAACCTTCAAACTATTATTTATACATGGTTCATTACCTGGACGTAATTGAGCTGAGAATTTTCGCTGGCCGCAGAGTTGAGAACTGGAAGGGCGAGGGAGGAGCTTACTGGAGTTCTTTGTACGTTCAAGACCTGAAAGATATTCATTACACTCATCACTTAAATTAATAGTACATATTCGAACATAGCACATATTTATTTTCATGTAAATTGTACTTAAACCTCAACGCAGACTATTTAGGATAGATCTACCCGGAATTACAGTCAGCGTTTGCTCCAAATATCACAACTTGGAACTCAGCATGGGCATACATGAATAAATTAGCATGAGTGAACTTCCATCTACGTCAGTATCAACAATTAAACAATTAGTTAAAGCCTAAGACTTTATTGTCTCTGCATAAAATCATCACCTCAAGAGGAGCATTGCCGTGAAAGTTTTCAGTGAACTGGAAGAACTCGCGGGGCTTGTCCACCCTCGACACCTCTGTGTTGCGGAGGAACTCGTTCAGCACCGTACGCCTGCGCCACCTGCAGGGGAGAACATGAGGAGAAATGTGATAAATTATACGTAAATGCGTAATATGTTTTTTAGGATTTGACATAAATTCGTACAAAATTATAAACCAAATCTTTCATTTATTTCATCAACAGAAAGGCCAGTAAAGCTGATGGATTAGATATGAATATTAGCAGCTGGGCACCACTACTTCACTGGATACCGCTACAGCTACATGCTCTAAATGTAGCGGGCGCTATCGCTACGCTCACTAGATTGTAGCGCCGCTACCGCTACTGAAAATGTAGCGCGCTACTGCCCACCTCTGAATATTAGTCAGGCGAAGCCAAAAGAGGGGCGAATATTAATTTGTGTAAATCAGGGTGATGGTGAGTGTATAAATATGAACTCGTAGCGCCAAGTGCATGCGGTGATGACCACAATTGACCAGTTACTGTTAAGACATGGCTAGGTATCAAATTTTGCTCGAGTGCACCTAGAGAATGACGAATTACTAACTATTCGCCTGGTACAGCTAGAACATGGCTCGTTATTAGTTATAGCCCGAGTAAACCTAAAATATGGTTCGTTACTAGATGTTGCTTAGGCGCACCTAGAACATGGCTGGCTACTTGATATTGCCCGGGAGCACCTAGAACATGGTTATATAGCTACTATAGATATTGCCCTGGTACGCATAGAACTTAGATATTTAAAGAGATATTGCTATTGTGCACCTAGAACATAGCTATTCACTAGATTTTACCATGATGCACCTATAAGATTCGATTGATTAACTAGATAATTTCCTGGTGCACCTAGAATATAGCTATTCAGTAGATATTGACCTGGTGTACCTAGATCATAGTAATTCACTAGATATTACCCTTGTGCACCTAGAACATAACAATTCACTAGATATTGCCCTGTTGCACCTAGATCATAGTAATTCACTAGATATTACCCTTGTGCACCTAGAAAACAGCTATTCACAAGATATTGACCTAGTGAGGCCGGGGCACATGTGACCATCAGCGTGTGGGCAGAGGTGCTGCAGCAGCTGTGTGAGGGCGGCACCAAAGGAGAAGACAGCTTGCACGACGCGCGGTGTCGGGGGCGTGGGGCGGTACGGCAGTACAGGCGGGTGGTGAGTGTGCTCTTCACTACACACGCTTTCACCACACCCGAACTCCTGACAAAACATCATGAAAACTGTGATGTAAGGAAATATCATTTGTAAAAATCATCCTAACATTAAGCGGTGAATTGCCATTTCTAACTATACTTATCTGATGACTTCCAAATATTACAGTAATAAGTTAGAGTGGAGGCTTTGGACTTCGAATTGGTGGTGTAAGAAAATTAATATCGACATACCAGAAAATATTGAAATAGAATATGTTTACACGGGTGTAAATTGTCACTCTCGTGAAAAATAACAATATTAATTCATTTTAAAATAAATGTTGTCTAAAATACATCCAATATATATAATGAAATGCAATAATACCTGCTTCCAAAATTGCCTGAACCAAGGGTTACGCGTGTTGTTCTCAGGAGTGAGCAGCCTGTAGTGCAGGCTGAAGTCCTTCACGTCCTGCTGACCATCCTTCAGCAGCACAGAGCCGGGCGGAGCTGAACTCGGTTCAAGCTGAAGCAGATGTTCAGAAATTCATATTTATGCTCTGTTTCTTAAGTAGTTACAAAGTCAGTTGTTGAATTGAGATGGATAAATAAGGCTTAACAATAAAAATGGTATTTAATGCCAATCGAGTATATAGAATTTAAATGTAATGCAAATTGAACTATCTTCTAAACTAAGCATTCCTTGCCTAAGATCTAGGTTGTAATATACATGAAAAAATCCTTGTAAACTCCTACTCTGAGTCGTGATTAACAATTACTTATATTAAAAACGGCGATGCGTTTTTAATTTAATTAACCTCTTTTACGAAATTTTGTAACGAAACTCTTGGGCAGAATTTTTTTCCGAGATGCAAAATTGGCTCATATATCTGCTGAAATTTTTTTATTTGTCACCATATATATTTGCAAATTTCGATGGAAACAACAGCTATGAATTCACCATGTTGGGCGACAGTTGTATATCATACAAATAAAACTTCGGAAAATATATTAATTAATTCGACACGATCCTAAGCGAAAAACTACGAACTCGACTCAAATTGCCCCAGAAATTAATTGTGAATAAAATCACTAATGTTAGGTAAGGTAATGTTTCAGAAAATTTCGGGGCAAAAATTACGTCATTGAACTAAGGAAGAGCTAAGAATGCACGGTTTTTATATACTGAATACGCCAAAAAGAATAAAAATCACAATTGAAGTCAACTTAAAGATTGCAATTGAAGTCAATTGAAAAATCGCGATTCAAGTCAATTGGAAAAGGATAATTAAAGTGGATTAAAAAATTATAATTGAAGTCAATTGAAAAATCGCAGTTCAAGTTAATTGGAAGATCATAATTGAAGTCAATTAAAAAAATCGCAATTGAAGTCAATTGGAAGAACATAATTGAAGTCAATTGGAAGCTCATAATTGAAGTCAATTAAAAAATCGCAATTGAAGTTAAGTGGAAGATCATAATTGAAGTCAGTTGAAAATTTGAATTTGTACCCGTTACAACATTCTCCGCCACCCTTCCGCTTGAACATTACTCACCACCCACCCGTTATATCATCCCCCACCACCCACCCGTTACAACATCCCCCACCACCCACCAGGTCAACTTTATCACGGTTCGTGAGCTCGTCAGGTCCGGTGGTGAGACTGAGTTCTAAGGCCACGCAGACGCGGGCTGCGCGGGCCACGGTGTGCAGGGCGGCCGCCCCCACGGTGTACTCGGCCATACCGCCTGATACAACCACGGACACGAAGTCCCAGCCTAGATATTGTAGCACCTGCACACGGAAGTAGGGGGCTTTAGTGTAGGTATACAGTAGCACCTGTACACGGAGGTAGGGAGGATACCAAATACCAAGGATACCAAGGAGTTCAGTACAGATATACAGAAGCACCAGCCGCTGGAGGTAGGGTGTAGAGTCCAGGTCCACAGCAGCACCTGCACACGGAGGTAGGGGGCTTTAATGTAGGTATACAGTAGCACCTGTACATGGAGGTAGGGAGGATACCAAATACCAAGGAGACCAAGGAGTACAGTACAGATATACAGAAGCACCAGCCGCTGGAGGTAAGGGGAACAGTCCAAGTATACAGCTGCACCTGCACACTGAGGTGGGGGGTTCAGCCCAGGTATTGTAGCACCTGCACACGGAGGCCAACACGGTCAGTCCAGGTATGCGGCAGCCACTGCACAACCAAATACTGCAGTATATCAACACGAGGGTAATTATTTCTGCACAGATACTGCATTGCCTGCAAACGGAGGGTTAGTACAAGCCTGTTACTGCAATATCCAAGCATGTTGTGAATAAACTGATCCTATTTGGTGTACAACCTATNCCCAGATACCTGCAGTACCTGCAAAAGGAAGTTCAGCCCTGGCATAGCAGCACATGCAGAGGGTGATAAGTACATGGCATGTATAATCTCATGTCCATGTAGTGTAAATTCTGTGTACGGGAGAAGGAATGAGTACAGCACAGTTAGCGGAGCACATCTCACATGAGGCGTGAATGTGTACAGCCCAGCTACTACATGCATATAGTACCAGAACCCTGTTGGGATGCACAGTACAACACAGTCTGCGCAGGTAGTGTAGTACCGTCACTTTGGGGAGGGAAAATGCACAGCTCAGGTACTTAAGATATTGTCACACGTCCTGCACGAAAAATATTTACGTATTGCTGATAGGTTAAACGAAAAAAAATTCTAATCACTTCACATCAATAGAGCAAAAAACATTATTATCCGTCAGCTGTTATCGAATTATTAGTTGTTTTTGTATAGATTGAAAAAATTGTGAAGCGGTTGATTGTCAATGAGAGGAATTACTCACTTGTTAACAGAAATAAATGGTCAAATTATTTGTTGAGCAAAAGTTAATAAAGGAGTTTTAATATTAGGAAAAGATAACTTTCGCAAATAAGCCTCGGATTAGAGGTAAAATAAATAAACGGAGGCAGTTTCTACATTTTAATAAGTAGAATTGACCTGCAAAAAAAGCTTCTGCTTTGAGGTCGAGGATAAATTAAATCCTATTGTTATAACAAGGGACTATGAAAACATAACCTGTACAAAAGTGTCTAGCTCGATATTAAGAATAAAACAAACTGATGCTTTTACCATTAAAATTCCAATAATTTACCGGTACGATTGCTTCAACCTCGAGGTTGGAAGGCGGGCTCTTCTAAAGCCCACCTAAGCTTTTAATATTATAATTACACGACTTTACCTGAACGATTGCCTCGAACTCGAGGTTTAGGGTTTAGGATATATTAATGCGATGCTTTTGATATTATAATTACAAGACTTAACTTGTACGATTGTCTCAGCCTCGAGGTTGAGGATGTATTAATGCATTGGTTCTAATATTACAATTGCCCGACTTTACCTGTACGATTGCCTCGGCTTCGAGGTTGGGGATATGTTAACGCTATGATTTTAATATTATAATTACACGACATTACCTGTACGATTGCTTAGGCCTCGAGGTTGAGGATATATTAATGCGTTGGTTTTTATATTACAATTACACGACTTTACCTGTACGATTGCTTCGGCCTCGAGGTTGGGAGGCGGGCTCATCTGAAGCGCAAACGGCGAGTGCGCGAGCGACTGGCCGAGGTTGATCGACGTGATGTTGAGCGACGCCAACATCTCGCCCACCACCTTTGCCGTGTTCAGCTCCAGCGATGTTATGAAGGCATAAATGTTGTCCAAGCCTATGTTCAAGCCGGGCTGTGTTCCTTTGATGATACTCGTTACTTGGTTCGTGGCGCGTATCTGATCAGCAGAAATATTTATATTAACAATGTGTTAGGAACAATGAGGTTTTTATTTTCATATTTGATTTATTAATTAATTCAACATGGGGTTCAGGTGCTCTTAAGAGTATGAATTATATTCTACCAATTGTTGCAACATTGAAATAATTCCTGCAATAACTGCTGGAAAAACGAAATCGAAAAGACAGGTTTGAAGAAAGAGAAAATATGAACTTTTTTTTACAACTACTCAGAGGAAACGGGTACTATACCGTTTCCAAAAATAACAGCCTATAACAGCACTTGAAACTGATGTGGGCACTTCATCCGAATCTGCAACTGTCCTGGGCACCACACTATAGGACCTGCAACTGACCTGGGCACCACACTAGGACCTGTAACTGATCTGGGCACCACACTAGGACCTGCAACTTACCTGGGCACCGCAAGTGTCCAGTACGACAGCTCCCAGCTGTGTGTTAGGTAGCAGCTGGTTGTGTCTGTTGATTTGCTGGATCGCCCAGATCATCGCTTCCACTTCCTGGATTGCCTCTGCCATCACTGCTGGGCCACATCCGGTTCCTGGAAACGGGTAAAACTTCAAATTGGTTTTGTATGTAAAAAGAGTTGTGGATCATTACAGCCTCGTTTCATAAGAGAACGGATTCTCATTAAGTAGTCTTTCATGAAATATTGAAATTTAATTTAGAGTATATTAATTTTGTGATGATTGAGGAACTTGTAACGTAAGTTAATATCACTTATAGTAAATTCTGGTCGTTTTAGACCTACTGAGGGTAACTATCATTACAAAGTCTTTAAATATTATTAACAGTTATCTATTGACAGTTATTTTATAACAGTTTTGGCACCTGTAGAAAAAGAAAGTTAACGGGCAGATTTTACAGGCATAACAAAGAATTATATAAAGTCATACATAAGATTTTACTAGTTTCTCACCGTCTTGTGATGGTTCATGCACGGCAAACATGCCCACGACGTAGATGTCGTGAGGGGACGTGAGCAGCACAAACGGCTCGGCCTGTGAAGCACTTTGATCCTGTGGCACCTGCTTCGCTGGCTGATAGACAAATTATAAAGCTTTTGTCATTTTACACTAGGAGCCATAAGGAATGTTTGATTAGCCTTACATTAATTTTTATGTTGAAACTTTCAAACACGTATAACACCTCTCAGCGATCCCTGCGCCATTGAAGGCAGTAATTAAGTTTGTCAAAGTCTCTCAAGGCTTTGCGTGCCATCAGATTGCATAAATTAAGGTGAATTAACGTGAAAAACGTTAGAATTGTGGCATATTAATGATACATCAATTTAAAATTTATGCAAGCGCATTCAGTGGTAAATTTGTTAATAGACGCAAAAAATATACCTATCTATACACCACATTTTGAAATTACTTACTCGTACTCGCACATAAATTTCTTTTATTTGTGCCTTAGAAAGCATGTTACATGACGTTATTTTCGCCTTCTTTTGCAAATTTTTCATATAAAGAAGTAAGTACTACGAAGAATAAAGGAATTTTTTCTTGAGCTATGTTCTTAAATGAACTTCGAACGAATTTAAATAACACTCAAGTCAAAGTTTACGGAACACGCAAATTCTTTTGCCGCCATGTTAAAAATCATTTAATGTGCACCATGTCGACAAACTAATAATTTTTAACTGATTTTTTTTTACTTCTGATTGTATTTGTATTCTATGAAGTTGTGAGCTGATGATGGAGCTGCGGTCTCCGAAACGTTTTCATTAAATAAATCGTGGATTTACTTGGCGTTTTCTCTGCTTTAATTGGTGAGCTTGCAAAAATTATTGATGAATTTGCAATTTAAGCAGACTGCCTGATACTTTGATGCACGCATGGAAGAAATTGTATGTTCATGACACATAAGAGTTCGTCATGTATAAATAAACAGAGGCAGTTCACAATATAACACAACATAACACACGCCTTACCTCAGGTACATCAGCAAGGCACTTGACGCAATGCTTGCCGAAGCAACGAGGGTTTTGTTGATGCGGCAACGAAAAATTCGATAGATTCTGCACCTCCTTGCCGCCGTTGATCACCTCGAGAACCTGTCAAATAAAATTTTTATTGCTGAGAGCCATGATTATCTATTGCATTTGCCAGAAGAACTAAAACTTTTGTTGCTGAGAGCCATGAATATCTATTGCATTTGCCAGAAGAACTAAAACTTTTGTTGCTGAGAGNGTGTATAAGAGACAGATTTATTACTGAGAGCCACGAATATCTATTGCATTTGCCAGAAGAACTAAAACTTTTGTTGCTGAGAGCCACGAATATCTATTGCATTTGCCAGAAGAACTGAAACACTTATTACTGAGAGCCACGAATATCTATTGCATTTGCCAGAAAAACTAAAACTTTTATTACTGAGAGCCACGAATATCTATTGCATTTGCCACAAAAACTAAAACTTTTATTACTGAGAGCCACGAATATCTGTTCGAATTTGCAAAAATTAGTGTTTATTTGTATGAGTGCTTGACTGTCATCGGAATTATAAAGGAGCTATTTGAGTGCGTATTCCCAATTTTGCATCTTGATTGAAAATTGCCTGGATGTGAAATTATATGTGTATTGGAGGAATCTAGAGAAAACGCATATCAATTGATTGATTTAAAAATTCATAATTTTTCATTGAGTTGAATTACATTTTACGAAATTTTTCAATATAGAATTTACTAACTAAAATGGTTATTCTTTTTTTTTAATCGCGGCTTACGTTTGTCATTTCTGATTAATATTTATTTGTGATAGAGTTTGAGAAAATACGATGTGGCTTCTCTCAGATTCCAGGCAATTGATAATTCATGAGGTTATCATTGTTCAGATAACATAATTATTCAGGTACGCGAGCGAGCAAACAATTTTTGCCTGCCTCAATGACAAAGATTCATTTCCGTGTATAAACTGATAAATAATATTTATGTCTAGAAACCAGTCGCAGATTATATGGTTCATAATACAATTTTGCAATCCACATATAAAACCGTAATCATACTACCAAGTTTCACAGCTTGTACGAGAACTCCAGAGTAAAGATAGTAAGTGATCAAAACAAAACTAAGAAAGTCGTTGACGAATATGAACAAAAAATGAACAATGAACAGAAATTCACTGATTTCATGGCAAACAAATTCAATTTATTCATTCGTTGATTATTCCCTTTGTTCAGGTGCTAAATTTAAAGTACTGTTGTAGTGTATATGCAGCGAATGCAATTTAGTACGTATTGCGAACAAAAACTGGGGCAAATTTTTGATATCATAGAATCAATGCTATAGAAAATTTACTTAAAATTCTATATGCGACTTTTACACATTTTGTAATTACCATCTTCAATTGAAATTTTCTTACCAACGAGGTCATGATACTGCCGTCGAAATTTTGAACCCTGTGCAATGCAAAGCTAGACCCTGCCAGCTGGGCCCCTGGATCTTGGGACTTTTTACCTCCCGTGAGGCCCAGAGGACTGCGGGACCCAGGCCCCATGTGGTCTGCTTCTAATACTGATAAGTAATTGTAGTAGAAATCCTGCAGTGAGAGTGACTGAAGGGCGGTACAGGCTCCGGGACTGTAAATATAAATTAATTAATGCTACCAACGTGAAATAAGAACCAATTAATTCACCATTAAATTGTTAAAATTAACTCATTCATTCATTAATTATTAAATGGTAAAATTGGAATGGTCGCGAGTTCTGCGGTGACAAAAACTAAAGCGTATAATCAGAGTCTCTTTATACTGCGTATTTCCGGGCCGCGTCTCGAATGCGATCGTTTATAACGAGAGAAATTAGTCAGATTTTCAATGTAAATTTCAGTGTGCAAGTGTGTCGGTCTCATTTTATCATTCCACTCCTGAACTGATCCGATCGTTACGTATACAGCAATTCTCTGGTCATCACGACAATGTATGACTAAATATTTATTTGGAGACTTCTAATCAAAATGAAATAATTAACTCAATGCACAGCAACATGAAAATTGAATGAACATTTTGAGCAGGAAGACCAACATTAAAAATTTTCAAGTAGAACAAATCGGACTTATAAAAGTAAAATAAATGCTTCGAGCTAGCAGACCAACAGTAAAAATTTTCGAACTGAACATAATTAGAACATAAAAGTTGAATAAAAACCAAGACTAACAGTTAAAATTTGTCCAACCCTCACCGCCCATCGCATTTTCGTCGCCAGGCGTTATGCACAGCGTTGGCGAGTGTGAAGAGTCCGTGTAAGACCGGCACTACGGCCCGTGTTCTCTGCACGGCGTCAAAGCCTTTGACGTTACCGGCGGCTTTATCGATGAAAGACGCAGACCGGCAGTCCGGATACGCAGATCCTTGACGTTGTTCTTCTAACGGCGCCTTGCAGTTGGTCTGCTGTTGGAGGTACTGCAGAAAGATGTCGCTCGATGGCGTTCCCTGAATTTAGCAAAATAAAATTACTCTATTAATATTAAAATTTCAGATATTGTGAAAACGAAAAAAAAAATTCTCCGTGATCTACATGTATAAGGTGGGCAGCATTGAGACTTCAGGCCGAGCATTCGCAAATATGGATATTATTTTCAAATTACAATGACATTCAGTATCACACTTGGCAAATGCACGTATGCAGTCAATGCTTCGGACCCATAATATGAGATCCAAACAGAAAAAAAAGATCAAAGTATTTAAAGTTTCTATAAGTTTCTATAAGAATAGAAATCTATTACAAAGATATATTCTTCTATAATCTATAACAAAGTAATTTTTCTGTAAGATCTTTGGAAACTTATAGCGTTGCTATGGCTCACCTCAGTCAGCGAGAGCGGCAGCTGCTGCCAATGGTTTTCAAACTCAGTGAGAGGAGCCCCGGATGTCAGCAGCAGCAGCGGCACGCCTGTCGCAACGATCCTGCTGATGTCAAATGCTGAATTCGGAACGTCAGTCAACAGCCAAGGTACGTCAGCTCGCAGCTGAGGAGCAGCCGACGTCAGTGCTGACAGCGTCTACATAGCAATTGACATTAAAAAACGCGCGAACCCGATTTTTGTTCGTGTTATTTTCTGCACTACTTCTTCTACCACCTCCACGTTTAGGTCCGAACCGAACGATCCTTCTTTTTATCGTTCCCCCTGCGCCAATTATTAAAATTTTCATGTTTTAGCTCTCACGGGCCGAATATTTACCGTCCCGCTATCGTACAATTAAAGAGCTATGTATTAATAGCTATGTACTCCTGCTCTTATGTGGGTCATATTGACCCAGTTTGGCCGGGAAAAAAGACATATCAGTGCTACACAGCATGTGTGTCACTATTTGGACAATATGAAACATTCATTTTCATGAGGGTAGCCTGCACACACCTGCTGCAGGCCGGCGCCTGACGCGAGAACCACGACACCGTGCAGGCCTCCGAAGCGCAGCATCCTGCGCACGCGTCCTACGGCCTCGCGCTGCCGTGGCTCCTGCGCCAGGCCTGGGGGACAGTGTGAGCTTAGAGAGTCCGTAGGAATAACATTGGGATGCTAAAAAGAGGTTAATAGAGAATCCATAGGAATAACATTGGGATGTTAAAAAGAGGTTAATAGAAAATCCGTAGGAATAACATTGGGGTGCTAAAAAGAGGTTAATAGACAATCCGTAGGAATAACATTGGGATGCTAAAAAGAGGTTAATAGAAAATCCGTAGGAATAACATTGGGATGATAAAAAGAGGTTTATAGAAAATCAGTAGGAATAACATTGGGATGATTAAAAGAGGTTAATAGACAATCCGTAGGAATAACATTGGGATGCTAAAAAGAGGTTAATAGAAAATCCGTAGGAATAACATTGCGGTGATAAAGAGGTAAACAGTATAATTTTGAACAGTTTTGCGATGATCAAAAGGGTTCACAGTTTGAGAAGTAACAGGATTGTGAATACTCAATATAGCTTATAACCCACGATGAAAGAACAGCATAACTATGGAATAAAAAATCTTAATCCAGAACGAAACCGGAACGATCGACCCCCGAAAACTTATTGGGCAGCAACGAAAGTTTGTTCGCGATTTCTATTTATAAAAAAATAAATGCAATAATAAATTATAATACACTTGATGCATGTTTACGTCAAGTCACTATTTTTCAAAATGATTGATAATATCTGAAATAACTAACTAAATAATAAACTGTGTGTAACTATGACTCTCAATATTCAATGACATTGAAGTTTGGGAATGGGAAGAATTTTCTATTTAGAAAGCGAATTAGGAATATATACAGTGAGATACAAATAAATTGAACATGAATATGTCAGATAAATTAAGTAATTTCTAGTATTTAATAACCTTCAGACAAAATACTAACCGTTTACGTCATCAGGAAGATGTTCAATAACGCTGATGCAAACGTTAAAAGCCGGCGATAAGCGCGTTATCAACTGCAAGGAAAAAGAATGTTTATCAATAAATAATCGTGACTTTATTACTCTAAGTTAGGAAATTATTAATACAATAAATAGTTGCGTGAAAAATGGCATTAAGTTTAATACGTAAATCCACCAGCTCAAAAACACGCGCGAATTAAAACTCCTGTTTATAATTATATTCATGATAAAAAACTCCTGTTCAGAATTATATTCTTGATAAAAAACTCCTGTTTAGAATATTATTCATGAAAAAGAAACTCCTCTTTAGAATTATATTCATAATAAAAAAACTCCTGTTTATAAATATATCAATAAATAAAAACCCAAGTTTATAATAATATCATAATAAAAACTCCTGTTTATAATTATATTCGTAATAAAATCTCCTGTTTATAATTATATTCATAATAAAAAACTCCTGTTTATAATTATATTCATTATAAAAACTCCTGTTTATAATTATATTCATAACTGTTTATAATTATATTCATAATAAAAACTCCTGTTTATAATTACATTCGTAATAAAAACTCCTCTTTAGAATTATATTAACAAAATACATAGCAAAGTTACGTTGAGTAGAGGAATGAAAGTCGTGCTTACAGGCTGCACACACACACACACACACACAGTCTCACGTACACGACGAAGCCTTCACGTGCACACAAAAAAAATGAGTTAGATTCGTCAAAATAGCGATGCACTTTTCAGCCTCGCGTGGGTCGTCCTGACCCAGTTTGTCCCGACAAAAAGGGTGCATCAATGCTACTAGTAGTAGTAATATTTGGGTATTATAACCCATTGTGTTTTCTGAGTGTGCATGGCGCAGACGCCCTCACCTGCGCCATCTGTTTCTGCGGCGCGCGCTGCTCCACGAGCAGCAGCGTACGGTTCCACTGCAGCGCAGCGGCGACGCGCAGGATAGCCTGCGCACATGTAAATATGATGAGATGTAAATATGATGAAATGTAAATATGATATGAGGTAAATATAATAAGGTGTAAATGTAATAAGATGTAAATATGATGAGATGTAAATATAATAAGATGTAAATATAATGAGATGTAAATACGTATGATAAGATGTAAATATAGTAAGATGTAAATATGTGTAGCTATAACTCTCATATGATGAGGCAAACAGATAAAGGCAAAAAAAGATGTAAATATAATGAGATGTAAATATAATAAGGTATAAATGTAATAAAATGTAAACATAATAAGATGTAAATATAATAGGATGGAAAGTAAGCGAATTTTAAAGCATCGTATACGTAATACTGATAGTTTGTAGAACGAATCATATTTCAATAGAATATACATATATACGCCTGACGACGAGGAGTGATGATTTTTCAAATAACTGCACCCTATGAATCAAATATAATAGGAAGAACGGGACATTAGCAGGGCGATACAAAGGCATATATCGACAGATGTTTGAACGGATTAAAATGAACGGGAGACTAGCAGACCAGTACAAGAGTTTGTTTCAACAGAAATTTTAATATTTTCAAAATTATAGAGCATTCATAAAAAATTTTGAGAGACGTTGTAAAACATTACGGAAATGCGCTAAATATTCAAAAAGGTAAAAAAAGGCAAAATGCTTCAGTAATTATTTAAAACCTATTTAATTACGCAACAGATTGATTTAACATTCAAAAGTTTACGACATCGACCCAACTCTCAAAATTTAACTGGAAAATTCTTTATTTCTGAATAAATATCTTCTCTAGAGATTTAGTTTCATTCAATGCAACGAACTATCTGCGTAGTGAAATTGTGGTTTAATGTACGAAATTTATTCCAAAACATTAGAAAAGAGAGAAATAGAAATAGTAAAATGCATTTATGTTCATCACTTTAAATATTTACGTTGATATAAATACTAAAAACTAATAAAAATCAAAATCAGCTAAAGAACAAGGGTGTAAGTCCAGAATAATGGCAAATTAAATGAATTTAAACTACTAACATTGAAGTACTTTGATTAAGGAATAGTCGAGCCGTCTAGAAAATAATTCTCGAAGAGTGAACGTAAGTAAGCAAAATTAAATCCTGAATATGTATAAACATTTATACTGACATTGATATCAATATTCCAAGCACACTAAATTAATTTTAGTGTTGTAAATACATCGTTTGAGTGGAAATTTTTGAGACGAATATTGTATTAATAGACAAACCTGAGCTCGCTCGTCGGCAGGCGCCACCAGGGTTGGGTTGAGGTCGAGGATTGGCAGACCAGGATACGCTTGTGATCTGCACGAGTATAAAAGAATAAACTTTAATCTAGTTCAGTAAGAGTTAGAAAATTAAAATAAGTAAATAAATTAGAAGTATTGGTATAATTTGGCAGAAGCTTTTATTTTATACAAGATTGATTAAAAACTCGTGCTTTCTATAATCAAACTTGCATAAATTAGAAGTAGTAGATGGTTATCTCCCAGTGCAAGAAATTAGAAAATTACATACTCGCATTGCAAGTAGTACAAATTTCTTACTCGCCATGCAAGTACAGCTGTAGTAGAGTAATTGGCTCGCAAGTATTGCAAGAGGTCAGTTTATTGCGTTTTTTTTAATGTAAAAAGTTTATAAACTAATAGCTCCATTGTGTTCATCGTATACATTCAAAAGTGTAAAAGTGATACTCATCAGGATTTGGAATGTTTACCTTGAGAAAATGAGCTTCAAAATTTCATTTGGTCTTATAAAGCGAAAAATTGTCATCGGATTCAAATAGAAATGAAGCGATCAGCTTGGTATCTATAATGGCATTAGAAGCTATGCACTATGATGAGCCAGATGCGTCACGTAGTGAAGTAACGATTAGCATTTCAAACTATAGACAATACAGTGCAAAAATGCATCCTATGGTGCTCAATATGAGCGAATAAACGATCATAATATTGTACAATAGATGGTTCCATGTGAATATGGTAATTAAATTTAGAATATATTCTTTCATCTCTTAATTGTCACCATCAAACGATATCGTTCTAAATTGAGTTTAAGTTTTCTTCGTATTGGGAGTTAAAAGCTAAACATTAAACAAGATCTCGATTGATTCCGGACAAGATGATGCTATTCTTGCCTAAATCCAATTTAAACTACTCTGGAAGAATTTATGTTTTAAACCCTTTAAGGCCAAACAAAATTATATTGCTATTCTCCAATTTGTTATTCTTACCAAGCATAGAGATTCTAGAGCGTTCGCAATGAAACAATATGAGGAATGTCATAGTTTATATATTATAACGTAATTATAAAATCTTAAAAGTAATTATGAAGTTTTAGTTTAGGCTAATTACTTTTCATTCTATCTTGCCCATTGCACAATTCTATCAATGACATTGTATGCGCACTTTTGTGATTACCGATGATGCATTAATTTTCCATTAGGCGACATTTTTTTCACAGAGCGAGGTAAATTTAATGAAAATTGTCCAGACTTGAAAAATATTATTCCTACGGGAAAGAAGAACATTTTTTCGCAGAACGAGGTAAATTTAATCAAAATTGTACAGACTTGAACAATATTATTCCTACGGGAATGAAGATTTTGCAAAACATAGAGAAAAATTATGCTGAACAGACATACCTGGGGAGCTTTTTTCGCAGAACGAGGTAAATTTAATCAAAATTGAACAGACTTGAACAATATTATTCCTACGGGAATGAAGATTTTGCAAAATATAGAGAAAAATTATGCTGAACAGACGTACCTGGGGGAGCTTTTTTCGCAGAACGAGGTAAATTCAGTCAAAATTGTTTCAGCCAAACTTGAACAATATTATTCCCACGGGAATGAATATTTTGCTAAATATCTAAGAAAATATATACTGAACAGACGTACCTAGGGGAGCTGAGGTTGATCACACCCGCCGCGAAGAGGGCGGGAGGAGGGGGGCACTGCGAGGCACCCAGCAGTTGTGGGTAGAACGTCTGTAGGGACGAAGCGCTGGCTGAGTCTCGGTCGCATGTGTCCACCACACGTGCTCCTGACGCGGTTAATTTAGATACAGTGATATTGTCTACAAATTATTTTGTTTATCACGGTAATGTAAGTGATATTGTCTACAAATTATTTTGTTTATCACGGTAATGTAAGTGATATTGTCTACAAACTATTTTGTTTATCACGGTAATGTAAGTGATATTGTCTACAAATTATTTTGTTTATCACGGTAATGTAAGTGATATTGTCTACAAATTCATATTGCCTATAATTCAAGTAATTTATTTTCAATAATTTCTTTTGATGTCATGGTGATCCGAATACGATAGCGGATCGCATTTTCTTATCAATTTTTCGTTTTGCCATGTCACTGGAATCAGATTTAGATTTTTTCAGATTCTTACACTTTTGCAGTCAAATTTTATAAAAATTCGTGTCGCGTTTGGGTAATTTTCAGTAAATTCTGATGGGTCTGTTATAAAGCCAACAATAAACCAACATTGAGCTTCCATATTCCTGTTATTAGATTATATTTATCTTATATATATTCCCACAGTGGGCTTTTTTATTAGAAACATTCAATTCAAGAAAAGTTATAAAATGATTTATTCGTCTATTTTTGAATAGGAAATACTAACCGAAAGTGAGGCCCGGAACGTAAGCGTTGGTGACGATTCGTTGGCCAACCTGTCCCCTGCGCTGGTTGAGGCGAGCTAGGCCCCATCTGAGGGCCTCGAGGCCTGCAACCCAGGCGCCCTGTAAAGGCCCACACTCTGCAGTGAGGCCAACGCTTGAAGAAAGAGGCATGGCCACTCCTGTGGGAGGTATTTGAACATGAGCGGCCAGTCGGTGAAGACTGCAGGTCAGTATATTGCTAACATTAGAACATGAGCGGTCAGGCGGTGAAGAATGCAGGTCTGTATATCGCTAACATTAGAACATGAGCGGTCAGGCGGTGAAGAATGCAGGTCTGTATATCGCTAACATTAGAACATGAGCGGACAGGCGGTGAAGAATGCAGGTCACTATATCGCTAACATCAGAACATGAGCGGTCAGGGGTGAAGAATGCAGGTCAGTATATCGCTAACATCATAACATGAGCGGTCAGGCGGTGAAGACTGCAGGTCAATATATCGCTATTATCAGAACATGAGCGATCAGGTGGTGAAGAATGCAGGTCAGTATATCGCTAACATTAGAACATGAGCGGTCAGGCGGTAAAGACTGCACGTCAGTTCATCACTGGCATTAAATCACGTAAGATCAGCCGATGAGGCCTACAGAACTCGTGTCATGGGAGAAATATCTTCCAGTGAAAAGCCACTCAAGGTATAATTTCTGCTTTAAATTTTCTTAAACTAATCTTCCAAATAACAATTGAATGAAAACTCATTTCACATACACGAAATTTCATTGTAAAACTGAAATTTTTATTTTATTGCCTATCAGTTCTTTATTGTGTGTAGGTTGTCATAGGTAACACGTGCAATACAATTTTACAGACTTTCAAATCATTTGAATCTAGGATAATTTGAAGATAATGCAAAATGGTTAAACATAGAAATTTAAGGACTACTCGTTATATATAATTCATGGTTCAACGCCTCATTTCAATTCTCATGCCGAAAATGTGAAGAAAACAACTATAAATATTAGGAATTAGCTACAAAACCCTTAAAATTAAAATTCTAGACGAACTAAGTCCCTTAAATTTAAATTAAGGAAATGTGACGTTGACCGTGTACGGAAGAGGTGCAAAATTTCTACCATTATATTTAATTTCAAAACTAGAATACTTTGCAAAAAAATGCACACATTCATAAGAGAACTCTACTATTTCAAATTTTAGGCAAAATCAAGAATCTGATATATCATATTTATTTTTCTAATTTCCCGTTATAAAATAGCTTGAAATTTTCAAATTGTTCGTATTTGAGTAAGAAATAACAGATAACCTTCTTGAAATGAAAGAATTAAGGAGTTTCTGATCCTTTTAAATCAGAAGTCGCCCAAACGCGTTTCTTTTGATCAATGAAGTTAATCTTAGGATGTTCAAGTATTCGAAAGGAAGAGAGTAAAAGTAATGGGAAAGTTACAACAAGAAACACACTCTTCAATAGCACATGAAAGTTCAGCGTCCACCATCTGGCACGGCAAGCAAATCGTTTAAAGATTTTCTGAAGCTCACACCTGAACAGCCAAACGCAAGCTCGATGCTATATAATAGCTCGAAGTTCAAATTTTTAACGGAGTTTTAGTTAATCAATTAGTCATTTATTTAATGGCTTCAATTTGTACCAAAAAAAGAATCATTAATCATTTATTTATTGGTTTTAATTTGTACCTAAAGAGTGAATCATTTTGTAGCTCGTAAAGTATTCGTCAATGTAACCCATCTGCTATGTATGAAAAATTTAATACTTTGTTGATCGCGCCAAAAAAAGTGAACAACTAAAAAATCGAAAATTATAATTTTATCTTTCTAGAATAGAAGTAGGTGAACAACTATTGATATCCAATATGTACTAAGACAAATGAATGTTAAGCTCGAGAAAAATAAATCAGACATTTTTAAAAGTAAATAAAAATAGAGGTTTAAATGACCGATTAATTGTCGCTCACTCGGAAGATGTGATGTGGATCAAAGGTCTGGTGAATCTCAAAATATGCAATCGTAAAATTAATATGCAGGTTAACAAAATGATCCATTGATGTGTTGTGTTCAAGTGTGCAACATCTGGAAGTAAAAATTTTGTATCTAATTTAATACAAAAACTACAAGGTTAATAATGAACAGAAAACTAAATTGCCGGAAAATTTAGTTAGTTAGTTTAGTTAGCAGTAGGTTGAGAGTTTGATCCTAGCTAGCAGTAACACTTCTAGTCAAAATCAGCAAGTTGACCGGGTGGTTGACAGCAGCAACATTAGAGCAGCGAGCTGCAGGTTCAAAGCGACAAAAAGCAGCAAGAATTATTTATAGTGTAAAATCGGCTATAAACGTATTTTATCCTAATCAACGTTATTCTATTGCTATAGCTAGATAAACAGAGGCTCGGCTTAAATTTAAAATCGGAAAAAATACGGCAAATATTTCTATGAAATAAATAATTCATTAAATTCGGCTCACCTATGAAGACGTCAGCATCTGGATTAATGATGAGCTCTTGGTCAGTGAATGCCCAGCATTCGCGTCCCTCGGCAATCCTGAGCTCTGAGTGAGAGTGATCATTACTCTGATCACCCTCATCGTCGTCGAGATAATCATCCTCGTTACTTGAAGCATTACGACGAACGGCATAGGGAGTGACGGTATCTCGTCGATCATCGTCATGACGATGGTTATCGTCGTTACCTGCATCGTGACGACGCACGTCGTTTCTGTTTTTACCGCCATTCGCTAAATCGTAACGAGTTTTTTTATCCCTAGAGCCTTGACGATGAACTTCCCTATAATGAGTATCATCCTCATATGAACTATCTTCATTATCATCATCACCATCATGAGGCTTCCTTGCATCCGATTGTGTGTTGTCATCGTGTACGTTCGTATGGCGTTCATCATCGTACTGTACATCACTGGACTGATCACGCTGCACGTCGCTGGCAGAGTAATCTTCGTAAGCCTCGGGATCAGCGCTTACTGCAAGATCTGGAGCGTGAGAAGCAACACCGCTCGATGATACAAGAAAGTTTTCTTCTCGAGCACCAGGCTCCGACGATCTGTTGACGTATTGCTGGGCTGATGAGCCGGGCCTATTGTCGTATTGCTGGGCTGATGAGCCGGGCCTATTATCGTATTGCTGGGCTGATGAACCGGGCCTATTGTCGTATTGCTGGGCTGATGAGCCGGATCTTTTGTATTGTTGGGCTAATGAGCCGGGCCTGTTTCCGTATTGCTGGACTGATGAGCCGGGCCTTTTGTCGTATTGCTGGGCTGATGATCCGGTCCTATTATTGTATTGCTGGACCGATGAGCCGGATCTATTTTTAAGAGACGGTGAAAACTCATCGTCATTCCCAGAATCAAGTTTTCCGTTAATAGGTTCGAGTTTCTCCATTTTAGAATTCTGGTGATCGTGAGCAGAAATTGAATCGTATTCACTGCCAATTACATCTAATTGTCTTTCAGATTGCTCAGCCGTTTTCTCTTTTTCTTCAAATTCGTATTCACGATTACGGAAGACTTGCAAAAAGTTACTTTCGCTATCACTAACCAAATTATCTTGATGCAATGGCGTGGCAATAACCACTTCTGGCTTTTCATGCTTATAGATGGTCTCATGATTAACATCATTTTCAAAATCAGTGTAAAGATTCGATTGATTCTCTTCGTTGTCATCAATATTAGATATGAGGGACACAGCAGTCGTTGTGGCAGATGAAGTCACTGCATCGTTGGAATGAGTATGTACAGGAGCAAGAATTTCAGATGCAGGACGATAGGGGGAAGACCTTAGCAAATTAAATTGCTGTAATAACGATGCCGGAGGTGAGAAATTTCGAAGTGCCTGATCATATGAGGGAGTGGTTTTGGTACTGTTCCTGAGAGGCAAGTTGTGAGGAATTTCGGTGGTAACGCCGTAAGAACTAACGAGAGGGAGAACTCGAACAATCGAATCTTGTCTTGGTACTGTGAACTGTTGGGAAAACTGGGACCCATCTTCTGATAATGGTAGAGGGCTAATAATTTTATTATTTTGCAATGTGGAAGATGTTAATGTCGTCGGAATCAAAGGTCTTCTGTAACTACTCTGTTGGGAATCATAAGGCTGGGCCTGCAATTGGATTCCCGGTGGAGGAGGCACATACGTTAAGGAAGGAGGATCATGCATACTTTGAGTTTTGCGTTTCTCTTCGGCATGTTGCAGGAGCAGGAGGTTTGGCTCTATTGGTGGCGGAGGAGTATAGGATAAAGATGGAAGTCGAGGTCGATCATGCATGCTATGGTGAGCAAACTGCGATCGTTGTGGACTGGACATCGAACTAGGAAAAGGGTCTTTATGGGTATTCTGGCTCAAATAGGGGTGTGAAACTACCGATGATCCAAAATTGTCTGATTTGGGACTGAAATCAGGTCCATGTGCCGAATTTCCTGACTCAGATAAACCTGGATTATTAATAAACAGTGGAACGGAAGAACTGTGTAAGAGGTTTCCTGCTGTGGGACTGAGCTGATTACTCGAAGTGTTCTGTTCTATGTTTCCTACATGCGAATATATGAAATTACTTGGTCCGTGTGGTGATTTTTCATTGGGAAATTTATTTATCCCACCGTATTCAATAGGACGGTCTGCAGCCCCATTCTCAGTGTAATATGGAGCTTGAATCACTTCATCTTGCTGCTGGATCTCCGGTTTACTATGTGCCTCGATGTTTTTGTTAACACTTCCCATTGCAAAAGAAGGTGACTTGCTTCGTGTAGGTATATCATAAACACGTGAGACAGGGGAAAGCCTTATTACGTTACTGTTTAAGGAATCAGAATTTTGTGATGCCTCAGACCTGGAAGGCGCCTGAAGAAATTGTGCAGTGGACCGAAAATTTAACGCTGGCGGTGGCAGCATTGAGGGCACCGGCACATGAGGATTATAATAGCCAGAAGAATCAAACGAACTATTGCTAAAAAGTTGTTTGCTGGTCACAGGATCAGAAGTTTCAAAATAAGGTTGTTGTCTATTTGTATTAGTATTTCTGACCTCGGAGACTATGCCCTGCGCTTTAGTGATTGTAATTTTTTCCAAAGCAGAAATTGGGTTTCTATGGCTATTGATTTTCCGTACTTGGTGACTGGCAACATTTGAAGGCTGGTATCCTTCTAGAACAGCGTACCGAACGTCAGCGGCGGATACGTGAGAAATAAGATGTTTTTTATGATCTTCATTGATCAACGGTGCATTAGGTGAGGTTCGTTGAATCCCAACATTGTTTTCAGAGCGACGATTGGTGTCTAGTATTCCTCCATGATCGCGATGCACGAATATTGGTTTCATCGCGGTAATTGTGATACGTCCAGAAGAGGCTCCGGAAGGGCTCGATGACACACTTACATTTCCTTGACGATCGTTATTAGAATTCTGCTCAATAATTTGACTTGGTAATGAATTTTTAATTTCAATTGTCGGTTTTGAAACTATTTGCTGTCTTTCACTAAAATGGAGGGAAGGCTGATTGGGTGAGCTTCCAAAATGTACAAAATTTAAGTTTCTTTGATCGCTGGGTTCGCGCTTTTCACTGGACCTGGAACCGGAAGAAGCGTTGGAAACGGTGTCTCTGGTTACAATTTTATTTATGGTTTCATCTGATTTTCTAAAATTGTCAGGCACTGAGCGCAAAGAAGATTCATCTCCTTTTCTGTGAGTTGTTGACACGTTGTTTTGAGGTTGATGTTTTTGAACCTGCAGAAGATTTCCATTATCGGCTGGCGCATTTACACTCGCTTTTAGGTTCGTTCCATCTGTAATATATTTTTCATAACTGTTTAAGATCGGCAATGGAAAAACAGGTGGCATTGAAGTTCCCGTGGCCAGAGGAACAGATTTCTTCATCGCTTCTGCCTTCTCACCCACAAAATACTGGACTTTATGTGTTTCTCTGCCGTACATTTCATCCAAGCTGTAGAGAGCTTCTTGGGATGGTTCCTGACCTGGCACAACAAAATGTGGCCGATCGTAAGGTAAGCGGCTAGGAAACTTCCCGGGAGACCTTGCTTCTGAAAGACCGGGCTCACGTTTATTAATTATTTGAGAACCCAGACTAGGTGCTTGAACAACGGATATCGCTTTAGGGTGGTTGAAGGGCAGCAGCACCTTATTAGCTGATGGAGGGTCGGCTTTTGAAGAATCCGGGTACATGACAAAATCATTTTGGATGTCATTACGATTTTGATTAGCACTTGAATCGGTCAATGCTCCTTCATACAAGATCGCTTTAGTCGATGAGACATCATTGTCACTCGGGGGCTTAAACTCTTGATATCCGGGGCTAGGCAGAATCAAAGAAGGCACATTTTCATTGGTGATTTCTGGTGAGTCATTTTTCGACACAGTTGACGGTGGATGATGATTGGTAGAATTGAAACTCGTTCCATCAGTTAACTTGTCATTTACTTTCGTTGGCTCCTTTGCAAGTTTTGACTGAAGAACTGATTCGGGAACATACCCGTTAGCAAGTTCTTCTTTAGGAGTAAGCATTTTGTCAATTGATGTCAGAGCACCGTCAGCGGACTGCTTTTGTTCTTTGTTTACTGTATAAGTCGCGTTTGGTTTTTCAGCAGCAAAATCTGTGTTATTCGAATAGATCCAGTGTTTTTCATTGTGATCTACAGTAATAGTTGACAACTTGGAAAAGCCGGCTGACATTGAATCTGGTGCAGGAATGTCAGAAGTTTCATAATTTATACTCGCTGAATCTGTTGGTAGGTCAGTGGTGACGACGAGAATTTCGTTCTGAGATTCAGAGGGTGAGCTGGAAGTACGATTTCTGGTATTTAAAGTTGGTGCTTTGCCTAATGGTTCTTCCATCATTTTATGCATCTCTTTTTTATTTTCAACCGAACTTGGAATTGCTGAGTTTTTATTAACTTCAAGTAAAGAAATATTTTTACTAGTGTCAGAAATATTTTCTGCTCCAATTTCTCCGAGCGATTTAAGATCATCCAAATTATCAGAATTCATTTTATGAACATCGGACAAGCCGATGGAAAGGTCTAGTACATTATTCACGTTTAAAGGTCCGTTGCGGACATTTTCGCTTCTATTTAAACCGTCAAATTTGTCAGTCATTATGGGATTAGCTCTATTTTGCTCATGTTCCGACTTATTTTTAGCGCTCAATGACGGTATGTTCTTTGGAAAACCATGGTCGTCGTCGTATTTTTCGCCTCTTATAACTTCACTTATATTTTTCTGTTTCTGAACTTCGATGAGATTGCTGGACGTCTGTTTTGATTTCCCGTCAGATGTTCCCGGTGAATTTGTAACTAACATATTTTGAGGCTTGGTGCGTAAGCTCCATGAATTTTCATCCCACCTATGAGATTCTTCAAGAAATGCAGAGGAAAAATCTTCTTTGATCCATGGTCCTTCCACGATCTCAAGAGACGCACTCATTGTCGTTTTGGGTTCAGGGGTCGGAATTGTAGGTGTCCTTATCCACGGACCTTCTACCAGTTCCGGAGACGCAAATGCAACTTGCATTATAGGAGAGTTCGTGAATCCAAAGCCTCCGATTCTCCGACTTTTAGAAGGCGGTTCATGATGTGGGGCCGACGTCAGAACCGCCGGGCCTCTGTTCGGTCCAATCCACTTGCCGTGTACCACTTCCGGAGACACGGCAGCGACTGAAACGGGGCCGCGATTCGGATTAGAATCTGCTATGAAGTCGATAACATCGGGGGACACGGCACTATTATTTTTACCCGCAACGCCTGGAAATTTCCCCAGATTTTCTCCATTGAAGTTGAATGCTGTGGACACTCCCACTGTTCCGACGACTTTCATGTAGTTTGGATCAGATGTTATCATGCTATTGTCGCCAGGGTTAGGGCCTCGGTACTGCCGTCTATATTCGAACGGCTTCAGTAGACTTGGTTTAGATTCAGATTGGCTGTAGGTAACATGGAATTTCAGAATTGAAATTGATAATATGTTGAAAACAGTCAACTTTAATACTGTAATTCCACGCTGTCTTAATGACAGCATTTGCAACAAAAGCACCATCAAGACTTAGTTCTCATTTCTCAACTGGTAAAAACAGACATGTTACCTGGAACAAAAGGTTGGAAAAGTTATAAGAGGAAAATATCATTTACATTAGGAAATGTGGGAAAAAATCACTTAAATATAAGGAAACGGTGCCTCAAAACAATATTCCAACACATATTTAGTTGAAAAAAGAAAATGTTCCAAAAATAAACTAAATCACCAAAATAAAAAATTGCGGTACCAAATTATCACGAAAAATTACTCGACACGATTCTTAAAAATATGAAATGGTTGAAAAGTGTGTACGCTAATTCTACGTGATATTTATGACGTAAAGATACGCTGCTGGTGAAAGCTCCTAAGCTAAGAGCCTGCACCACGAATATAGGGCTAGCTTTGTAAACGCCATATGGCTCACTCGAAGCGACGAAGGCTCACCTCCGACCATCTACGTGCGTGGAGCCACGGACTGCTTGAGAAAGTTTCTTATTCCTGTGGTTTAAGCCTCCTCCATCCGAAATATGTTCACACTTATGATAAGAAATTTTGCATTTATAGCGGGTAATATTTCATGGAAAATATCAGGTCGTGAAGCGATGGGAACTTCTTCCTCTCGAATGCATTGATTTATATCGTTTTAATAATTGATTTAATATTGGTTCGAACCTTCATTTCTATTTCTGTACAACAAATAAATGTCGACTGTTCAAAAAATTGTTTTTTACATTGGAGATTTATCGATAAATGATTTAATTATTATTATCCTCGATGGAAATGAGAGTAATGAAACATGGGAACTATTATTTGCGACCGTGACTTTTTAAACATAAAACTACAAACAAATCTTAACGTATAAATGTTTATAGAGACTTTCATGCCTACATGTTTTACAAACATTTCAATTTTGCTGCTACTCATGTTTTCAAGATTTTTAGTGAGTGATTTACTTTCATTTTTTTAATTTTCAATTAAATTCTCTGCGTCTCGAGTACATTTTTAAAGCTCTACAAGACGTTCAAAATTTGACCTCGTGATCATATCTTAGTAATAGAGCAAATAATGAACAGCTTTAAATAGAAATTTTGTTGGCGCTCAAAAGCAGCAGTGCCCATTAAGTATGACTTCAAAAAGAAGTCATGACTCAGTTAAAAGAGTTTTTTGCACATTACTGTTCCGGTATAAGCGCTGCGGAGATGACGCCTATGAATTACTATTTAGGCCTTATATACTATTGGCAGTTGGTTCAACGCCGGCATTTGCCCGGTGGCCGACCGTAACTGCAGCGCCGGCTAATGCCCGGTGGCCGGCAGTAACTGCAACGCAGGCAAATGGTCGGTGGCCGACCATGACTACAATGCTGGTAAATGCCCGGTGGCCGGCAGTAACTGCAATGCCGGCAAATGTGCAGTGGCCGACCTTAACTGTAACGCCGGCAAATGGTCGGTGGCCGACCGTAACTGTAACGCCGGTACACACCAGGTAAACGACCATAACTGCAGCGCCGGCAAATGCCCTGTGGCCGACCGTACGTGCAACGCAGGCAAATTCCGGGTTCCGGCCGTTACTTGTTCGCTGACGTGCCCTAGAGCGGCGATCAGCTAAAGCCCCGCGAGCGTCAAGCCGCAAAATGAATTGAAAAATCTAAGTTCACCGTTTGAATACATGCGCTGAATTGTGATTTCTTGTGAAAGAAGAAAAACATAGTATATGCAATAACAATTGGATGAAATACAATTCCACCAAAGAATGCGATTATTTCTTTTTACACGCCGTGTGTGCTTTAGAATTATAGCCATGTTTATATAGGCTATAAATAAATACAGCAATGATACCGCAACGTTATTCAATGAATTTCTACTCAATTTTATTTCATTTTTTGTAAATGATCCTATTTTGCATGATCTCAACTCGGTATTTTTAAGTTCTTGAATTTTTTGCGCTGATACTTTTAAAACTTGAAAAATGTCCGTCATAAATATCTACGACATGAAAAAATTCTCATGGGTAGAAGTCGAACAACACAATTCGTTAGAGGCAAATATTCCACTAAGAAGACTCTATTATTATAAGCCTGAGTTTATTGAAGACTTTCTTCTTCAATAAACTCAACTCAAATCATTTGATATTAAACTGGAAATCAAAGTGCGGGACAATCATAGGACCATATCCTTCGTTTCCATAACACCTGAGTTAGGAAAAATAGGGCTTAGAAGTCGCAACACAATTATTCCTATGGATTACACTGATGAAAGCTAATGGCTCAGTGATCGTCTATTCCAGCTATCGAGAAAAAAAATCCAGTAAAAGCTCTAGGCAAAAGAAATATCAGCACAAGCCAGCTGATCGCAGTGACTCGACAGTTTGGGACAATAGCCTTGCGAATGTGATGACAAACTGCAGCGTCAGCGGCTGGAAAGTTGCCTGCTTTTGTAGCCAATAATAAAGAAACGAAAACGTTCAATTCGAATAGGACTTACAGCTCATCAGTTTTGTCTGCAAACTTGTAGAATAATAGTGAAATGATGGAGCTTTAAGCTTAATTTGGGATATTTAAACTCACTTTTAAAGCTGAAAAGGAGGTATTCTTAAATAAATACACTTGCTGAGAATGAATCCGTGCCAATTTTCAGAATCTTTGAATGATCTAACCTACATCTTTTATTTCGCCAAACTATCTTGCTGTCATACTTCAATGTAGTTGCCTTAAATTGAATATTAATTATATAAATAAGTATTCACTAGAAAGAAAACACAGGAAATAATATTTTTAGCTTCAGGGAAAAAACCAAGCTTTCGCTATAATTATCAGTGAACTTCAATTCATGATTAGCTTTCGCTTCAGGAGAAAGAGTTAATGTAGTTTAAGTAAGATTAATTTAACTTATTCGTTTCACATAAATCATGTAGCCACTTGCAATGCAGCTCAGTTATTTATTGATAAAGCCTCTAACTGCCCATTATTCGCCTCTATTAAACAATTAGTTGAACGATAATTTATCGACAAGAATTATTTGAACTTAAAAATAGTCAGTTTCTCTGATTAGTTTTCCGTCGTTACGAGAAAAGAGCTTGGCAACATCAACATCAACCTCACTCGTAACATCATTTTATGCTTATTTGTCAACGTTTAATGGCATTTGTTGAATTTAGTATGTATAGGCCGAACTCTAAGGAATGCCACACCTGCCTTCCTGTTAAATTCATGAATACCAATATGCCCAATATGATTATTTATGAGCCAAACTTGAGTTAAATTATGGCAGAAATTATCCTTTAACCATACCGACAGAGATGCAAACTTGGTATTGTACGGTGGAAGGCATTTATCCTTCACGGCAGTTAGCAGACTGACTGTCAATACTCTTCGTATTACAAGGACTTATTTATCCTCACATGGGAACAAAGCTAAATTTCTCAAGTATTCTTACGGAGAATAATAGGATTTTTTAAAATTTGAAAGTATTTCTTATCTCGCAAAGCTCTATGATAAGGTTTACTAGACAGCGGAATTAAATGCTCCTGCTTCAAGGCCTTCAACCTCGACAATGTTATTAACATTTAAAATTGCAAAAGACTTATATCCTACAGAGGAAAACAGAGCAAAATTTTTCAAATATTCTAACGGAGATTATTAAGAATTTCGTCAATTTGAAAGTAGTTACTACCTCGCAAAGCTCTATGATAAGGTTTACCAAACTGCAGAATTCAATGCTCCTGCTTCAAGGCTTTTAACCTCGGCAATATTATTAACAATTTTAAATTGCAAAATACTTAGAGAAATTTTCCTGTCACGTTACCAGCATATGCTTGAGCGAAACTAACGGCTACCGCGCCCTGGGGCAACGCGTACTTCAGAATCAATTATGAACAGCAGGAAAGGGCAAGAAAGCTGACAATTTTTGAACAAATTTGCTGGGAATTGCCGACTGTGCGAACTTCCCCTGGCGAAACTTAGAATTTGATATGCGTTTATTTAAGTCCTCGTTTACAGTCGCCATCTTTTGAATAAATATTTATTAGTTTAAGGTGAATAATGTAAGATATCAGCTTCACACTTCCTCAATTATGATCAACTCGGACGATTAACCTTTATTATTTAAATTTGGTTTCTATTTAATTTATATGAATAAAGTAAAGGCCAAAGTTCGAATATATAGAGAGAAATCATGAACTTATCGTTTCACATCGAATGAAAGTTTTGAGGTTTTTGAAATGATTCGTAATTGATACTTCATTCCGTCGTTCATTTATCGACACATATTAGAAATAATTTTCGCATTGCGTCGCAAATTCACTTTTTTGTAATTCAAATAGAACGTGACGATACCACTTGCAAAAAATCAAATTTAGTATAATGTAGACGACTTACAATTAAATATTTTGATTTAAAAGTTTAGGAAATACGAAATCATAGACTGTTCAAAATTTTATCCCCGACTATCTACAAGTACTAAACAGAATGTTGTCGTGCATGAAAATTTGGCCAATTGTATCAGAATTCGAAATATACTGGAAATAATACTCGAGTGAACGAGTTGAATTTTTCCGATACTAATTTTCGCGTCACTGTTAGTGTAAGGGAAATTCACCCGTTTTGATTTCGGTTACTTGAATTTTATTTTTGTGTCGTAAGTTTTACGGCTGTTGTAGGGTTGGCAACCGTGCTATCTGATGACGTGGCGTTACCGGCCTGTAGCCCCTGTTAGTTCGTCTCATTCGATTGCTGTAACTCGGTCGGATGCATCTGGAACATATCTTTGAGCGGCTGTAGAACAAAGAGTTTTTGTGGTATAGAATTGAGATTTTGCAGATGTTGGCTA